CTGTGACTTATGCGGTTTTTAATACAGTGACTGAACAAGTGTTACTCATTGCTGAATATTACTTATGGTTTACGATGCAGCAGTAATTATCCGTTGGGCACAGAACACACGCCTTTTGTTTTGGTACTAGCAGGGGCGTCCACTGGGAGAAATTAAGTTTGCTAAGTTCTTGGTGAAGATGCCTCGCTTGTCAAAAGATGCAGCACAGAGCATGAAGAAAGAGCATTTTGTTTTTGCGAAGAAATCTCAATGAAATATCAAGTAATAATAAGAAATCACTGGTTTATATTCATTATAATGGGATTAGGGTTAGGAGGGAAAACCAGCAGGTGCAGAATCGTTAAAGGCTTGTATTCACTCCAAGCAAAATGTCACCTAAAAGGACGATATGACTGGTCTGCAGTCAAACGACCTCAAAATTTCCCTACAACAGCCAGTTTCCAGAGTGTTGGATGCAGTTTGGAAGCGAAACCCAATATTTGACAAGTATGGCGTCAAATATTGTATCTTGCACATAAAAATGAAATTATACTGTAAACACTTTAATTAGAAAAATTACAGCATGGTTTCATCGATCTTGGGGGTAATTTTACTTGCCTAGATGAACACATCAATGACTGGCCACAATTTCAGTATGGCGGGGGCAAATCAGCCACATGTCCCACATCTCCCTAAAATTGGTTTCTCTGAAGGGGAGCGATGTGGGAATGCATTTGGGGAGCCCTCAGATGTTACCCAGCTATGATCTGCTCTCAGCACAGGTCAGGCGAAGGGGGCAGTCAGTGACTACAAATTAATGGATGGAGCGTGAACTTCAGAGGTCAGGCGCGCTGGAAAAGAGTGCATCGGAAAATGCGGCGTAATGTTGCCGCGGCGGCGGCCTTGCTGGCGGCCAGTCGCACAGACCAGTTGATTCCGGAAGCAGCCGGAATGCTGAGAGTACAGCGTCTCGTTTGGTCCTCGCAGCAGATTAGCCAGCTTTCAGTGGCCAATTTTATGATAACAGCTGTGCCCATTACACACCCACCAGGGGCCCAAACAACGGTCCTCTGAGGGACGTGGGCCAGACCGTAGGGTAACAGAGTGAATGTCCCCAGGGAAATATGACTCAATTGCCCTCAGAATGCAGCAAGCCCCAGAGATGATCTAATGACTACTCTGCTGTCGCTTATACCTGCACTGTGGGACTAACTCCTACTCCGTTATCCTTTAGATTGTGGGGTAAATATTCCGGGAATACTTTCATGTCTGGAAGAAACCCTAATGCACTACAATCATTAATCCCTCAGTCATTATCAATCATTATCAAGAAGCACCTATATCTATGCAGTGAATTACAGAAGCATGACTCATTCTTCAACGTTTGGTACTTCAGACCAGTTTTCTCGTCCAAGCAAACTGTCTTTATTTTTGGTTTCTCGGTCCTCAAAACCTACAGTAAAACTTGAAAATGAACTTTTCAGCATGTACCTTTAAAATATGAATTACATGAAATCAAATTTTATTCACTGATTACTGAACATGGTGCTTAATGCGTATAGTTTAACTAACTTAACTAACTTCATCTATGTTACTTCATCATTTATATACAATAAATGTAATAAAATGTGTTTTAATTAGTTTCCTACCAGCTTTTTAAAAGGCTTAATCAACTTCTGAAATGCACATAATGAGTTACCACATACAAACATGTGACAGTGAGTAAAATATTTACTTTACGGTGTGCAAACCACTATATCTTTGTCTTCTTGTCCACATGGCAGACCAGTAGCACTCCCACTCATTGTGTTTAAAGCAAAGCATATCTACTTGGTTAAATATATAACCACTGGGGGAAAATATCCGAGGGGAGAGTTTAAACAGAGAGCGGGTCTCAGACCAGTTACTCATCGGCCAGAGAAGATTAGGATTGTGAAATGTCCATAGTTATTTGCCTTTCTGAAATGACATCAGGCTGAGGCTTGTGTGCAAGTGCTTACTTATCAGAGGTTATGTAGTGTCTCCGTGTACAACTTGCTCAGGGTGGGACAGCAAATAGAACCATGTGACATGAGGATGGGTGGAAGGGACAGAGACCTTGTTTTGGTTTGGAAGTGAAGATGGGTGTAACAAAACAGATGAGATGAATCAAAATAAAACACAGTCGTTCTGGTGTGAGCATAAGGTGCATTGTGGGAAAACAAAACGTGCGTAGGGAAGTGAAAAGGGTTAGAGGAGACTGTGGGATCTGGCTTCAGGAAATCTCCAAGAACTTTTATATCTGAGATCTTCTGTATATCAGTGTAAATGGAAGCCTCTGCTTGCCCCTGACACAGCAAATCTCTGTCCCAGGAGGTCTATCTCCCCTGAGAGTTCCTGTGCACTTCATCTGTAACAGGAAGTGTCTGCCCCCGAGATTCTCTGCAAGCCTGTGTGAGTCCACCACCTGAGAGCTTGTTCCAGAAAGCTTCTGTATATAAGATTTGCAGCATCTGACAGTCTGTACATGAATTCCTGTATATAATATTCCCTTTCCTTGAACGTCCCTGTCACTGAGAGGCTTTTTCATTGGTATAGATGAGTTTACTTAAGCCAATTAACCTATATTTGCTTGCAAAAAGTCAAAGCCTAGCTTGGTAACTTGCCAAACTTTCTGGTCAAATCTCCATGGCGCTCCATGACGGAAGTGAACCAACAAGACAAACCACATCATCAGGTCAAAATGGGTTCCAAAAAAAATTGGAGCTGTAATACAGTCAAATTGTCCATGATTTAGACATACAACTATTGGAAGCATTTTGTAAATCCCTGATATATTTAGAAAGTGGAAAAATCTAGAATACGGAGGAAAATACTCTGCAGAAAGCAAGTGACATAAAACGAGTGACTTATATTCACGTACCAGCTACTGTATAGGTGACTGTTTTGAAATGCGAGCTAGGAAGAAGAGCCCAGGGATTCCTGGGAAATGGGAGTCATTGACCTCTTGACTTCTCCCAGGATGCAGCATCATGCACTACCATCTTGACAAATTATTAACTTCCCCATCTCTGGCTGGGTTTGGCCTACCAGCACATCAGAGAGGGTTTACAATTTAAAGGTTACCTGCCATAAGGTGAGATAAATGAAGATTCCATGCTAAACAAAAAAAATCTTGGGAACTACATCTAGGTATTACACTTTCCGGTCAGAATATCCAGAATTTCTTAAAACCACTGTGAATAGTTTAACAGTATTTTAAAGTAGGTGGCCATACTCAGGAATACAAATATACATGCGATTCCAAAACGGCAGATTGAAAAGTATTAGATTTTCCGAAGGCTGAACATTGTTTTGTACAGTATGTAAGTCTATGTATGTAATCCACAGTACAATGATCTTTATTAGGAAATGGACAATAGTCATAATGCAAACTCATCCATCCATCATCCACAGTCCCTTATCCAGCACAGATTCATGGTGGGCTTGGAGCCTGTCCCAGGAAGAATGGGGTGCAAAGCAGATGGACAATCTGGACAGGATGCCAGTCTATCAAAGGGCACACGCACTGGAAATTCAGTAGAGGAAAATAACAAAACAAAAAAAAAAAACACTTGCAAGAGCAATGGGAATTTCTGCAAAGCAGTTTGTACTAAGCACATTTAATGCTATTCAGCGGTTGTTTTGGATTATCATCCTAGTTTGACACTTCATCCTTCATTCTAGGGAGTCTTAAATCTTGTTCACTGTAGTCCTAATCACACTGATAAACTGCACCCTCAAGTATTGGAAAACTTTTGCCTTTATTGATTTATAAGATTTTAAACACATACCAAATCAGCTTCCTCTTCCTTTATTTAGGACCACAGAGATTACATTTCAATATTAGATGAAATGATGCGGAAGATTTATAACACCAGTTTCACTTGAACTTCAGTTATGTTTATAAACATTTATATAATCGGACACCATATAATACATCTATACTGACCATTCAAATATCTAATTGACAACAATACTCCCAACAAATCAAACATATTCAAATTTATTTAGGATTAAGATTGACTTTATTGATCCCAGGGAAAATCCTACCAGTTCCTTAAATATAAGTACATTTATATTACAGTAAATATTTTACAAATATTCTTGTGCGCTTTTATAAATCTTAATTCATATATATTTTTAAGTAAGGACTTCATTCAGGGATATACCTGAATATACTGCTTACGGACTTCTTACTACCAAGCATGAACCAGTCATGCTTACTCAGTAAACGTTACTCTACTTGCCCCCCTCAAGAATTACACAAACATTACGGGCATTCATCACAAAAGATACAGACATGAGGCGCGTGCCCCGCGTGCCATCCCTTTCTTCCTCGCAGTAAAATGGACATCTCGCGGCGCGAGCTTCCTCTCGTCATGGCGCTAAGGGCCGACGCGAGACCAGCGAAAGACACTTTCTTGGCACAGCGCGAAAGCCCCTATCGTGCACCTGGCCATACTGGTACCTATTTCAATTTATCCGAAAGACACGGTTGGTCCCCTTTAAAAAACCGGAGCTGCGAGACAATTAATTAAATTCAGATGGTGGTATTGAACGCACACATTATTCCTGTACCATTTGTCTTTCTGACTGAGGAGCGGGGCAGCAGCGCCGTCTGAAGCCGGACTCAAGGATGAGGGAGCATCTGTCACTAACGCTTCCGGCTGCCATATCAACTACTCATATCACCACTGCGGTTTTTTACTTATGAAACCATCCTAACTTTCAATGCTCAATATATTTTCGTGAGCTTTTGTATACTGCATTGATGAATTCGAGGTTTGTTCATTGCGTGAGTTTTCGCAGCCGCGGCTGAGAATACAAGATGGTCCGCGTTGCTAACGCTCTGGGTTTTGTTGTATTAAGCGTTGCTTTGATAATTTTATCACTGATAAGCTATGTTTCGATTAAGAAAGATAACATTTTCTCTACTCCAAAATACGCTAATTCGGGAGGTCCAAGGATAATGTTTCACGCAGGATTCCGGTAAGTCTGTCTGTATGAATAGTGTTTAATTAGCCTACACGCAAGATTTTTACATTCGTTCGCGCGATGTTTTCCAAATTATTAGTAAATGCGCATGCTGTGCATTGATCTGTTTATATAGTCTCCATTCCGTGCTCGAGTATTTCTGTCTAAATCCGACCTGCGAGCGAAAAATGAGATCATTTTTCATCGGGCGATTATCCTGCTGTTCAAAATGCGCTGGATGAGCTACAGTATATCATAGGATCCACGGGCCTTCACTAAACAGAAAAACATGATGGTACTCGTTTAAATAAAATCTCCGCGTCAGGTTATATTCGGTTTTCATAATAGTTGTTTTAAATGGACAATACTGTACGTGCGCGATTAGGAAGCCAGCAGGCGCGGCCCGCATCCAAGAAATAGAAACGTTTTGCTCGGCTCTGCTTCCCGCTGCCATATATAGCCTGATATTGCCTGGGTGCCTTGTCCCAGGCCAGTCAGACAAAAATGATCTCCATGTATATATAAAGCTAGAATCAACCCACCTGTGACCAAAACAAGACTCTGCCCAGGGCCTAGATATCAATTTAGTTTCTGTTTATTAATTTAGTAGTGTATGCCATGGCATAATAATAATAATTATAATAATAATTATTATTATTTTATAGTGATTGTAATGCATTATGAGCATAACTGCTGTGGTAATGCTTGTATTACATAATAAGATCACGCTTCATTTTGTTAACAAAACTTATATTGACTGTTGTCTATCAACAGGTCTTCATTTTTATCTGCAATATTAGTGACAGCTTCACAGGCTCTGCCCTCGCTCCATGGCTGAAGGCTGTAAGTCACAGGGAGTAGAACAGACCCAGATGGCATGTAATATTACCATCGCTGGCCATCTGAGCCGCAGACAGCAGTCTGGCACACTGTTCGGATCTTACAATAGTACTTTAACATGTTATAATGTTTTGATGGAGTATGAATATCGACTTGCCAACCTATAGTCTTTTAGGCAGACATCCACATGCCTGAAGATACCGTATTACTCCTTTCAGTGTTGGAATCTGTTGCCTGTCTTCCTTGCCTGGGCTGCACCTGACGTCAATGTGGTTTGTGCTGGAGCTCTCCTTGGTGCTACCGCTTGCATTATTGCATATACTACTGGTACTTATACTTCAGCTGCTATGACATGCATTCTGTGAGAGAGGCCATTTTGCAAAGCAGCAGACAAGTGCATTTGTAAATGGGCCATGCTTGTTTTTGCTTTGTGTCAGAGCAACGCCAACAAATGAATTTACAGCATTCTGCAGAACTGTTAAAGTGCCTAGTAAAGTTTGTTTTATTTCCTGTGGACAGTCTTTTCATTCTGATTATTTTAAAATGGGATATATGGTCTTATTTATACCTGACTAATCTCCTGCAAATGGGTGACGGATAAAATAATCATTTTAAAAAAAGAAACCCATTATAATGTTACCCTTTTGGTGCTGTGTCCACTTTTAAATATACATTTATGTGCATCACACCACGTCAGAAATAACTGAAACCTTAGATTACACTGACTGACTGATTATCTAAAAATTCTTTGTCCTTACTCTAAGAAGTTCCATGAAATGGAAATGGAGTTCAGAATGTGGTTTCAGTTCTATTTGTCAGTATCTGTTCTGTAGTCTATTGTCAATTGTTTGTTTCTTTAACACAAATTTAAATGTTAAAATGTATAGAAAAGACCTGATATCCTGTACTAAATAAGCAGTTACGGAACTTGGATGGTCAGAGATGTACAAAAAATGAGTGACACCCAGTGCTCAAACTACTACCTCTAAACGATTGTTTAAATCGCTGCCTTTGAATGGGTGGCCAGCTGTGTAAGTCTAGACTGTTGTGTTAGTTGGCATTCATTGATTGCAAATCCTGTTTTAATCAGGTCAGCTTCCTATCAGGTCTGCTGGAGATCGCCAGATACCTTTGCAAAGCAAGTGAACAAATAGCAGTCAAAGGGAATTTAATAAAGCCGATAGCTGAAAACAGCTCTTTAATTAGCTTGGAGCTGCAGTTGTTGATTGGAGTCATTTTCGGTGGCTGCCAAGTTGCTGCACAAGTCCACTGCCATCTCAGGCTGATGAGAACCCTGTCGTCCTCAGATCCCAGTTTGCCATGAACTTCCTCGACCCCTCCTTTATCCCACTGACCAGTGTCCTCACTGAGGAGCTGAAGCAGAAGAAAGGCCCCACGTGGAAGTTCAACAGGACAGCATTCTTCCAGCAGAGGTGAGGCGCTGTGGCATGTGCAAGAAACTTGCAGCAAGCCAGGTGTGCGAGTTTTACTTGCAAGGGCCACCGATTCAGTCGTATCGAGTGGCCAGACATGGGTGACTCCCTTGCATCGTTTTGAGAATCAGCATGCAAATGTTTCTCAAATCAGACCTTAAAATGTCAGTTTATTGACTGTATTTTCTGTAATATGTAATAAGTGACAGTTTCACTGCAATTTCCAGGGGTAAACGGTAGCAGAACTGGGACAATGTGAAGACAGAAAAATATCGGAAGGCTGTATTGCTTAGCAACGTTTCCCCCTTTGTTCTCATTTCAGAAAAGAGATCTCTCAGTACATTGACGTGCCAAATAACTTCTCCCTGCTGAAAAATGATGTGCGCGTGGGCCAGCTGATGCATTATGACTATTCCAGCCACAAGTATGTCTTCTCCATTAGCAGTAACTTCAAATCATTGCTTCCCGAGTCCTCTCCCATCCAGAACAAGCACTACAACGTGTGCGCAGTGGTGGGCAACAGCGGCATTCTCACTGGGAGCTCCTGCGGGCATCAAATTGACGAGTCTGACTTTGTCTTCCGCTGCAACTTTGCCCCCACCGAGGTCTTCCACAAGGACGTGGGCCATAAGACGAATCTCACCACTTTCAACCCCAGCATCCTCGAGAAGTATTACAACAACCTGCTCACCATCCAGGACCGTAACAACTTCTTCCTGAGCCTGAAGAAGTTGGACAGTGCCATTCTCTGGATCCCTGCTTTCTTCTTTCACACCTCAGCCACAGTCACCAGAACCCTGGTCGACTTCTTTGTGGAGCACAAGGGCCAGCTGAAGGTGCAGCTCGCTTGGCCGGGAAACATCATGCAGTACGTCAACAGGTGAGAGTGTCCATTCGCATTCGGTGTGTTCCTTTAATGGAACCATCAACCCTCACTCAGCATGCCACTGAATAACAGGGACAGAAACCATCCTCTTTTGCTATGTGAATTGGTGGGGATCAGAATCATGCTGTGTGTTAATCCATAACAGAGAGCAGCGGTTTGCTGCAGTCTGTATAGATCCAGGTTTCTTCCAGCAGAGTCTCAGAGACATTTACATTACGACAGACCACAATCTTTCATGTTTACTGCAGGTAGTAGCAGTCCGGTTGATAGTTTACTTCCTAGCTTATATGCAGCACCTGTGTACTGTCCTTCAGCTGTCAGCCTGGAAGAGAGCTAGACTGGGTTCAGTTTCCAGTATAACCTTCACCTACTGCTGAGAGAGAAAAGAAGAGGAAAGCCTTTCTCACCCCCTCATTAGCTGGTTATCTCTGAAGATCACACAGACTTTGAGATGTCAGCCTTTGCCAGCCACAAGTAGAAGCAGCAATCAGTCTTTTGTGTGCATGAGTGCTTAATGCATTATTTAGGTTGGGATGGCTTTTCATCTTGGGCTTTTGATCGTCTTCAAGCTTGTCCTGGGCCCCTCTGCTTATCCAGGGTAAATATTTGAAACCAAAGCAACTTTTCTCCAGGGCACTGAATAAATGCTGAATGTCAATGAACAACATTTTGAAGTTGTAGGCAAAAGAGCTGAGAGCTGAGGGCAGAGGAATCAAGCATGAAAACAACAAGGTATCTGTACAATTTGTTGTAGCAACTTGTTCGTAAAGTGTAGCAATTGAGTAAGTAGCACGGAGTCTGAGTATATTTGCAGTGCAAGCCGTTGGCTCAGTGTAGAGAGTAGAGGAATTACTGGTACTGAGGAGTTCTGCCAAAGTATTCTTTGACTTGCCTTTACAGAAGATTAGAACTTCAGCAAAGCTAATTCCGACATGCTACATCCTATAGCCTACATATGGCGTTATCCTCAAATTGTATGCTGGACATTCAAAGCTCTGTGGGTCACAGTAAGCATAGTTCTCAGATTCACATGGCTGGTCTTCCAACAGGTACTGGAAGACCAAGCAGCTGTCCCCTAAGAGGCTGAGCACAGGCATCCTGGTGTACACGCTGGCCGCGGCCATGTGTGAGGAGGTGCACCTGTACGGCTTCTGGCCTTTCGGCTGGGACCCCAGCACAGGCCGGGAGTTGCCCTACCACTATTACGACCGCAAAGGCACGAAGTTCACCACCAAGTGGCAGGAGTCCCATCAGCTCCCCGCCGAGTTCAAGCAGCTCTACAAGATGCACGCCGAGGGCCTTACCAAGCTCAGCCTATCGCACTGCATCTAGCCAGCCCAGGTGACTGTGCTCTGGGCCGACATCTGCAAGGTCCGCACATTTAGCATGACGAGTGGTCTGATTCCATGCCGTGATACCTTTTTTCCCACTAAAATTACAGTAAATCAAACAGGGTTTAACCACAGAGGATACACCCCACATAACTATCCACATAAGCATTCACATAAACTGACCTTTGCCCCAATAGTATTAGACGTGTACTGCCAGTCCATTGCACATCACTTACTTGTCAGAGAGTTGCACAGTTTGACCCTGTGTTTAATGAACGTGGTCAAATGCATATACGGATGTGGAATTTGACCACATCTACATGAACATGACGAGAAGGCTCTTACGAGACACCTGCATATCATCTTCTATGTCCCCTGGAATTGCCGATGTGTGTGTGTTGTCGTAGATATCCATGGACATCTGTATTTGCTGATCATGGCTGTTCTTAATGGACTTAGGGTTGTAGATATCGGTCATTTGTTTACTGAGCATGCCAATCCCATGCAGGCATAGGGCCGATGATTTGGGAAATTTGTTAACCTAACATACCCGTGTGAGTTTTTGAACACGGACGACAGCCATGTGTTTACTGAGCATACCAAAAGGCCCTTAAGGTCATGGAGATGACACTGGATTCATGGTGTCCACTGCACGGGATACCATACTGTAGAGCTTATCTGTGTAAATCTGTATTTAGATTTACTGATAAATAGATAATAAACTGCCCAAAGGGTAAATGTAATAGAAATTAATATTTTTGTACTGCCTTTGCAGAAACTATTTGACTCATTATTCAGGCCAGAACGTACATTCATGATGCACCGCCATTATGTTATGAAGCATCAGGCTGAAATATATCCCTGTCATGCAAGCTCTTAAGTACGCCAAGACATAGAGAATTGTTTACATAGGTAGATTTGTTATTGTTGTATTCATTAAACCATGAATTAGACTTAGGCAGGTCGATGAGATGTACTTCTCAGCCAAATAGCAGTGAATTATTACTAAATTACATGGAGCTAAACCACATAGGTCTGTACTGCGGATTTCAACTCCACATCATACAGAGTCAAACGATGACCTCAGCAGTGTTGCCCTGTCTTGTTTTCCTTGAGACTAACACATATCATGGGTGGTTCTACATGTTCAGTCAAGCTCAGGGGGCTCTTCTCAGTTCAGGTCTAGGTCATCTGACTTTGGAAACCAACAGAAGAAGAAAACACAAGTAACATATTATCATGCTTGAGGTATAAGCTGAGAAATTGTCTGCAATGCATTTTGGATCTTTTACATTTAGTAATATTTGGCTTTACGTGAATAACACACTCATAAAACTGCTCCAAAGATAACTCTAAGATGTGGAGTTTAATATCATTTGTAATTATTCTGTACGTTTAGGTAGAACAAAGGAATGATAAAATCATTTCAACTACTACTCCGATGTTGCTGTTTAAATGATTAGCAGATCTTGTCACTGCCAAGAACTACTGTCAGTTATTACTGTAGTTTAACAATATAATCCTACCTAGTCTGGGCTGGAGGCCTGCTGTGATTTTAAATACAAGTCCTGTGGTATAGCAGAGGTCATCGTAGACATAAAATAACTGGTGCAGTATTACAGTGCCCACCCGTCATGGATTTGCAGTCTGGTATATACCCGAATGTCTCAGGACCTGCCCCAATAACAATGGCCAACCTCGATTGCCAAAGGCAACAGTAAGATGGTAAGGAGATGAAGAACTCGTTAGCGTAGCCCCGAGACGCTTCCTTTAAGCGCCTAATAGTTGAGTCAGTATTGAATTTTGCCTTGCTTTGTGGGGGGGTTCAGTTTACGGCAGTGTTTCCCAATCTGGCCCTCGGGGAACCACAGACAGTCCACGTTTTTTGCTCCCTCCCAGCTCCCAGGTAAGGAGCAGAAATGTGGACTGTCTGGCAGGGAGCTGGGAGGGAGCAAAAACATGGACCGACTGTGGGTCCCTGAGGAGCAGATTGGGAAACCCTGCTTTAGGGGACTTGATAAGAGGTGTCAGTGCCTTGTGGGTGGGTTCCAAGGGCAGAGAACACGGCGGCTTTATTATTTCCACCATTCTTATCAGATTGACTGTCTTAGCCCTGAATATCATGATGGGACCAACCTTAGCTCTCACACATCTAATAATTATTTATTTCTTAATATATTTGAATACAGCTTTGTCATATGGGAAATGATAAACATAGGTTTATAATGAGAACAGCATGAAATTACCGACATTTCCTTGCATGCCTTCTACAGCCTGTAATGTATGGAAAAAATTACACATCAGCTTTAATGCACTGCAAACAGCATGTCCATTACATTACATAGTGCATTTGTTTACCAGGTCTATGTGATACAAATGCAAAGAGTTACTGTGTATGAAACTAGGTACTTTATCTGTTTTACCTGTGTCAGCAAGTAAACTAATTGTAAAGCAGCCATAACCAGAGGCCTTGTGTTTGTACCCCTGAGAAATGTACTTTACCAGCTTTGCGTCAGTGAAATATCATCCCGTGTTTGAGTGGCCCTTAGGTACTCACCTTATGTCAGATCATTTAGCTTGCTAGAGTTAGTATGGGGTTGTTAGATGCTGAGCCTGAATCTGTGCTGGTGCCCTGTCCAGTCACACACTGTATATCGGTATCTGCTTAGCGTCAGATAATGTGCCCATGTGTAAATAAATCATTGTGTGTTCCCAGAATCCTTTGCAAATCAGTGCGACCGAAGCTGATGGAGTGAGTGGCCGAGTGATGCATAAAAGTGCCGGCAAGACGTCTCCTCGGGTTAGCTGTTCTCCACGTAACGGGCATAGAAATGCTGTGGGTTGCTCACTCGGGCTTAATTGCACGGCCATGCGTTTCGCCCTTATGTACAGGGATGCTCTCAGCCATTATCACCTTATGCTCCTAAACATTTGCATCTGCTACTCTGTATTTGACTGCTGACACTGTTTTAACCACCAACATGTCTATCAGAAGTTTTCTACAGCCAACAGTTTCCATACTAGTCAAATAATTAAGCTACGAACTAAGAATATTGAGAAAAAAAAATATATAGAAGTTTTTTGCCTACGTAGCTGACCACTGAGTGAACATTATTGTGCCACCGGTGTTGTTAAGCACCTGTATACCCATTGATAGGTTGGGTTATGTATATATTTACCTGCTTCAGCATTGCTGTTTCTCTCTGGACGTCTCTTTCACAATAATAGCCAATGAGCTTTTGATACTTAGATACAAAGTACCAAAGAGCAAAGAGTTGAATCTTCTGTGGACGTTGAGGATAAGGTGCCAGACTATGGCCTCTGTACCCGTGTGAAAGGCCACAGTTAGATTAGATTTCACAACCGTTCAAGTCAGCAGTGTTTATATTTAGGCCGCTGGCTGCATCCACAGGGACTCCATTTCATTAAAAAGTCCCTGTGGTTCAGCCGTAATAACTTACACCCATTCCAAGGGTACTGCTGGCTTCCACTGGAAAGGATACAGTGTACGGTCGCTAGGTACCAGCCCCGGTGTGTTCTGTTTACACCATCATTTCAACTTTGGTCAGATCAGATAAACTGAACGGTTCACACAGGGCTCTGCAGTGGAGAAAATGTGCTCTCTGGGGCCATGACAGGACAACAACTGCTCATGTATGTGATACACGTAGAGTTAGTATGGATCACTGTACTGGCTATGTCACCATGCACTGTACCAGGCTAGCATTTTGTTGTCCAGCTGATGGAAATATTAGACACAGTTCTATAATGTGCTTTGCTTTCTTTTCTTCGGTTGGTGTAATTATCGAAAATAAATGTACAATACAGCACTGTCACTCAGAAGAAGGTTAAATGCTCAACCCATGCAGCTGTGTGCTATTTAGTATCTAGATTTTTCTAAGAAAGTGGTGTTGTGATTGTACAAGGTGTAGTGCATATATTACGAAGGTTTGGCTGAATTGGCTTCTGGGTTGAGGGCAAAGTGCTTTCCCACAGTTTGTTGGCAAATCTGAATGCAGGCTTTCAGCACTTGTACAGCCATGGGACAAAGATGCTGACTTCAAGGGTCATCAACAGGGTGCCTCTCCTTTTAGCAGAGCTCAGTTGGAATTGGGTTTAATTCCAAACCTTGTGTATTACAGAAATGTCCTTGTTAATGTTATACAGATTCCCCTCAACGGTTGTGAAAGTTGCTTCACTCACGTTTAACATTTTGAACAACATCCAGGTGAGTGGTAGGATCTATTAAATCCAGTGACCATTTATGTATTTTTAGTTTTTCCCTGATGATCCTTTACTGATTTTATATATAATTTTCCAGTATCAGGCAAATGACACATTTAATGTAACTTTTATTATGTATCGTGTAACACTGATATGGATAAAATGATTAAACACAAATTAATATTGGCCTAACTCAAGCATGTTATTTGACCTAATGTATATTCTATATTTATTTATTATTGTTTTATTTTATTTTACTTTTTTTCTCCAAAAAAAAAGGTGTCACGTGACAGAGTATTTATTTATTAATTTATAAAGAGTGTGACATATAGTACAACTTCAGTTTGATGGTAAATCTTAATTAACGCATAGAAAAGCAGTGTTTTGAAGTGGATTGATGTCACCGCTTTCTCTGTCTGTTTGACTTCATACACAATATTCCTGACCTCCAGATATGAGCCAGCTATAGTTCTCAGCTTTTCCCACCAAATGTCCAGGCATCATCAGCTCTACCAGACTGGCTGCGCTAATGTTATTTTTTTAAATTGGTGTAATTATTTTCCAGTGAAAAAACCTGTCGGATGTACAGAGTTCTTTTAACCGAGAAAATTTGTAACTTGATAACAAATCCTTTTTGGATGTTTACAGAAACTGTTTTCCCCCCTATTTATAGACCTCTGATGTTGATATAATGTGAATGTGAACGAGCACTGGCTGATTTTCTGGAAGCCGTCCACCAGTCTTGAATGTAATGCACCTGCAGTTTTGGTCAACATACTGGAAAAGCCCTAGTATGGGCTGCTGACTCAAATAAAGCTATTTTCTGCCTGATCTGCCTTGGGTTTTTCACTGATGGTTGACCATGTCAAGTAGCCTGGCAAAGCTCGCTGGTAAATGAATCTACCTCTCAGCAAATAAGCCAGCAGAAGCAGCACTTTCCACATGACTGTCAGCCCTGTCAAGTCATGCAATATAAAATGTACACTTATTTGAAACGGGGACCCAACACTTCACCTGCTTTTATGGAATTCTTGGAAATCAGAGTGGAATTGCTCCAAGTATCAAATTTCATGGTCTTTTACTTTTTTAATTGCTTGTTCTAATTGCTTTAAGTTGGCTCTGCTAGTCCTTCCATATTTTTTCATTTCTCTGCTATCATAAGCTTCTTTCACTGTACAGCTATTTCAAACAATATTAATTCTACTAGCAACTCTATCCTCTGCTGCAATTTAACAGGAGAGAATTTCTACCCTGCACTGTCCTATAATTTATGTTTACTTATGTTCACTTACTATTTATAAAGGTTCTACCTTTATCAGTCCAACACATGTGATTAAGCTGGTAGTGGTATGTTGATAGTTTAACATGCATTATATGCACATGAAGTTCACATATGTATTTAGTATGATAATGTATAATATGATAAACTGTCCATCTTCCAATGTTTATTAGTACAGGGTTTCAGAGGTGGAAGAATGTATTATAGGAAGTTGAGGGCACAAAGCAGGCAAACACCGTAGATGGGACGCAAGCTTAATGCAGGGCACACACACTACAGGCAACTTAGAGATGTCGAATTGCCAAACGGTATGCTTTTCTCTGCATGAAAAAAGTGGAATCCCCAGTTCAAAATTGTGCAGAACAGGGAGAATATGCAAACTAACATCAAGCGAACCTCAGTTCCTAGAAGTGTGATGCAACAGTGCTACAAACAGAAGCCAGCATGATAATGTAAAAAAAATTAACTGATGAGTGCAATAGGTTCAATTTCCTTAAACTCATAAAAAGAAAGAAAAAGATTTCGCACATATTTTACGTGCTTCTCAAAATGGAAACTGGGAGAGGCTGTTTGTCTCTTCGACCACAGGTGTCATAACTTTTAAATTGGATTAATGACGCTACCTCTACCAATTAATTTCCCCTTTGACCTTCCGCATTCACAGACTGAACAAAATTAACTTCAGCTGCATTGAAATCACAAAATATAAGCTGTCATAGCTTGCAGATGCTGACAAAAAAGTCCATTGAAATTCCACTAAAAATATTTTTTTTTCCATTTCAATTTTTCCATCACCAGTTGATTTGTTATTTAAAACGAATCAGTACTACAAGCACCTTAAACAAAAAACTATCAGTATGTAAATGAAAAAGATGGACATTTTGTTCTCTGCAGATGTTTTTTCTTCAAAATAATGTTGCTTCATAATTTGAGGAACGGAAATGATCAGATTTCCATAGAAAGACATGAATCAACATATAAAATCATTAAATTTGTTTTGAATATCGCCGTACCATTTTCCCAAAGTGTTCTGCTTCACAGGTTTTAGTGTTGACAAATATCTAGGCCTACTTATGACATATGCCCACTGATAAATCCATTGACCACACAACTACATGATCCCAAAGAGTATTCATGAGTGAAAAGCTGCAGTACAAAGACACAACACACACATATACACTGTATGAAGGTATTTGTCTTCTATTTTATGAGAACTAAATATACAAATACTATACGGAATTAAAAGAAACAACACATTTTGCATTAAAAAATTTGTGCTTGTGCATGTCAATAATAACGAAACGAGTGAAAGTAAATGAGCACAGTGGCTATTTCTTGTCATTAAGCAGTGGCCTGCATGACCTCTGACCTCGACTAAAAAGGTTCAAATGAGCCATTCTGTCACTGCAGAGCCAACGTGTGCTTCGTATTTTATATATAAAATACAGTTATTCTAAGCATACACTCAGTGGTAACTTTATTAGGTACGCCTGGGAGGTTTTTGAGCTTGCATGAAGGTGCAGAAATGCCATTGACTGGATGCTGTTTTTGTTGTTCACCACAACAGATTCTGTGAACTCCCAAGAGAGGGTGGCTGTTTCGGTGATGCTCTAACCACCTCGAGTAAAACCAACAATCACATCACGGTCAAAATCACCTAGATCAGTTGTATTAGCCATTTAAATATTAGTCAAATAATAAATGATCTTCTCCACCCAGTCTGAATACTGTATTTATCTAGCAAGCAGATATGTAGGCATATTTGTGTGTTTGTGTTAAATGATGCTGTAAAATTAACATCAGAAATGCTATACACAAAAATGTCACCTTATAACATCCCATAGACCTACATATTACAACTGAATATGAGGTATTACATAACTGCAATAGACCCAAAGTTTGTGTTTGTTTTTTATTTAAAGATATGGTCATACTTTGTATATGTGTATTTGAAAAAAAGCACCAAATGAAAATTAAGGGAGTTAAGAAAGAGCACGTCATTCGAAAAAGGGTTACCTCTGCCAGCACAAACCTAAAAGGGGTGACCATAGTCCTTTGTTAACCTTAGATTTCCTTCGCGATTCGAATATCTGTGTTGCTTATGTGCAAGATCACGTGCACGTTCTTTCGAAAACCCACGTACAGTAAGTCGTTTTTCTGTTTAGACGCTAACAGTAATAACGGGAATATCTATGATGATTTAACTTCAGATGCTAACTGAAAATAACTCTCTCATTATGAATCAATAATTAATTTATCGTCTTCATTTCTCTTCTATTTTTGTGAAATATGAACCTTGTAATTTAATGCAAAAACCCACATCAGGATATAGCTGTGACTTTGAAAATAAATAATGGAAACGATATATTTATACTAAAGAAAGGAAATTATCATGTATTTCAGTTCTTTCCAGTTACTTCCAAACATCTTCTGTTTCCGTGCGTTAATTCAGCCGAGCGTCTCGGATAGCTGACAATGTACTTTAAGTTAATACTTGACTTTTCCAATCGCACAGGGTAACTGGATCTAACTTTAAGTCACTTCTTGTGTTCTGTTCTGTCCTGTTGCTATTACACAATGTCAGTCGGATTATTTCTCCTGTAACTTTGCTAATCTGCCAAAATTTACGAATAAAGCCAGATAAATGAAATTAGTCGCCAGAACTATTATGGAATTTTATAATATCCTGTAATTAACTCGAAAAACAACTACAAAATAGTCAAGCAGAGTAGGGAGAAGTCTAAGGTGGATTCTCAAACCTTTGACAGACTTATGTTGATTTGGCATGGGTTACCACATGTCAATAATTAAATCAAATGATATGATCAAAGACCGACGTGCCCGAAGGCATAATATAATCACTGCGTATTGATGAGAGTTTATCTTTCTATGGTTTCGCACTTGCTACCTACCACACGTAGTTCATATTCCCTGTAAATTTATACTGGTTGCACAACTTGCAAGTAAGTTTTTCCGTGGTGCCTCACTTTGTGTCTTCACTATAGTAAACAGCAATTCCCATCTATACAAAAAGCAGCCGATACAGCCGTATAGAAAACGGTGAATTAGACGTATTTTACAGTTTTACCAAAAAACGCAATTATAATGACACCATGATTGTATTAGCCTATCAGCTGAAAAGAGATTTCACTTCGTGAGGTTTTGGCTGCATTCAGGTAACAACGTGTTGGCGCATTTCAATTCTTTGCGTTATAAACAGTTTCAAACGGTATTTGACTTTTAAGCATAACAAAGGTCTGTTTAACCTGTATTATGAACTTAATTTGGAAAGTGATTAAAAATGATCACGTTACAATTCATTTTCAGATATGAGGAATGGAAAACTCAGTTTTTATCTTTTGAATTTTAAATGTGAAGGATTTCACCCACAGTTCAAGTTAATCAAGGCGCAAGCCAAGGCGAGAAAAATAAAACTTAAAAAGAACAGACATTTTAATCATGCCTGGAACGAGCAAAGAAAAGAATGTTGATAAAAGCGCGTTAGTTTTGTGTGTTTCCCCCGAATTTATCCACATGGCATCGACGGTTGTTATCCAAGACCCCCCCCCCCCCGCCCCCGACCCTGACCAGGATAAGCGTTTTGAAAATGATGGATTATTATTATTGTTGTTGTTGTTTATTATTATTATTATTATTATTATTATTATTACTACTACTATTATTATTACCATCATTGTTGTTAATGCTGCTGTTGTTTATTGTTGTTGTTTGTTGCTAATAATAATCTAAATACTGTAACGTGTTAAATGACTAGTCAATGTTGACTTCGAAACATACTATTTTTTTTATGTCAGGAAAAAAATTAACAAACACAACTACAATTATAGCACTAATGAAAAAATACACACAAAATAAAAACTGCACAATTACAAATATATAGACAAAAAACATTAGATTATTAGGCCTACAAACATGTACTGTAGGTAGCAAATTAAAAATTTATTAAAGTAAAGGTATACGCATACATTCCACTCACTAAGTACAATGGACTCTTACTTTAGTATTGCATACGCATATATGGGAATATGTAATATATAATACGCGATATACTCTTAATTGGAAAACATAAAGATTGCACTCCTAGTTTCTATTTCATTTCAATATAACTTGTTCATAATCCTCAGACAGTTGCATCTACAGAGTTTCGCCGAACAAACCACTAGTTTACTCCAAGTCACTATATTGCAGAAAATAATTTTCATCCAAAATGTTTCAGTTTACAGCCCTTGGACTTCCCCCCGAAAATATTTACTCCCTCCGTGGCTGCTTATACTATCTAGGCCTATGAAACTTGAAACTGTAGAATCACGACTGTCAAATTTGAAGAGCGATTAAACCGCACAGGCTAACGCAAATGCTGTCTCTGCGGAAAGCTGCCATGCAAAAATTCTTTTCCGTAAGATGCGACAGGCATATAATGTCTAAGTGACATACACTTACCGCAAAATACAAGGAAAGCAAGCCATGGACGCATTTGCGCAAGGGCAGATGCAGCGTAAACCCCAAACTGATTGCCAGTAACGGTATAGATTAGCATGGGGTCCGCTGCACAATGATTCTGATCAATACCGCTGCACTTACATACCAGATGGCACGGGAAAAGATCAAAATGAAAAAAAGGAAAGAGAAAAGGACCGTTTCAATCGACCCGCTATGATTTGGGCCTCTCTAGACTTAAATAAACACAGCACGGAAAAGCCTGTAAAAGCACTGTACAATTCGCTAGCGATGCAAAGTGATGAAACCGGGTTTGATTATATCATTTCTTTGTTAGGTTGTTTTCTTTTGTTGTGGATATGTTTTGGACATGGTGTGGCATAGGCTAAAGTTCTACCTTTATAACACCTGAATAATGTGACTATATAGTTTAGATATTTTGCGAATTCCGGTAAATCACTAATCCGATCCTGAAACTTGTTAAAGACAGTTTGAGTCTTATTAAACTACAAACGCGAACGCGATGCCAAAGATCGTGTTAAAGGCTACTAGACTAATGCGACAACTTGTATGTCGATGTCGGATATTTATTACTGTAAAAAAAGATTTAAAGACAATTGATGATCAAATAGTTTCTGAGTTCTTTATCAAATTGTGCGCCAACAAAGCAGACCTCTTTAAAGCAAAATCGGTTCTGGTTTAACACGACCGCAATAAGTTAACTCATTATTAGTAAGAACTGTTCATGTAGGCCTATTTATTTCACAGATAATTTTTAACAATTAACTATGCCTTAAGTTATAGCCAAACATTAAGATTATAAACTGCGCCAAACTCAAAGTTCAAGAATTCAATGCAACTGGAAGGAAACTTCCAGATTTGCTCATTTATTTTTTTTCTCGTGACAGCTGAAAGTGCTTAGAAGAGGCCCCGTCCAGGAGAGACCCCCTGCACCTCCACTGACAGTTGATCAAAAGGAAAATAGGTCACGGTTCTTCAAACTTCTGTCTCCTCACCCTTAATTACAGTCCCCTTAAACAAAGGCGACATCTGCCCAAGTCTCAACAACCACCCTACGCGGTGATGGTGTGCCAGGCTTCCAAAGCGCCAGGCAACTTTACATTTAACTGTGGCGAATGATCTGCAAATCTCATTCTAGAACCAGTGAAGTTCGCTTGCGACGTGCGCGACACACGGTTAACTAACTATATTTCAATACACACCGGCTAGTGCAAGTTATTTTCATATTTTATCAGTTTTTAAGCCTGCTGTTTATCGGTTTTTGGATATACTGAATCGATTTTAGCTTGCTACTTACCTTGCATTAAACCACAACGCAACGCCGTGTGGGAAAGACAGGTTATTATGGACTGTTTCTACTTCTAAACACAATTAATATTAAATAGTTACTAAAACATGGAGGGTGTTCTGAAAATTTGCAGAACCTAAAGGCGCACATTTTAAGTGTACACTGAGTAGCCTGTATATTTTCACAACTATATTGGATAATTACAATATATTCATCATTACAACATAAAGATACTTATAGGTAAACGTGCATATTATCATACTCAAGTGTCTTATTATGTAATTGCAATGCAAACAATGAAATAAAATTACAAAATTAACCAAGTATATAAGAACGTTTACACTTCGTGAGTCAAATGTATGGCAAAAAAACAGTTTCTATCAGAAACAGAAAGCTCAGTTTTGCGAATCCCTGAAAATAAATCAAAACGCTTTGATTTCAAATTCCAGATGCATGCGCTCAAAACAAGCAAATAAATAAATAAAATAATTACAAAAAAAAAATCACAACCAAACATGAACAATGTCTCGGGGCATCTCATTGGATAGACCGTGGGAGGGGCGGGACTCTGATAACAATGCTAGAACCATGAATTGTTCAGAAAACGTCAGTCATTGAGATCCCCCTCCTTCCTGACAAGGGAAGGGTGATGGCCCAGCCAGCCCGGCCTGGACAGCTCCAGCTGCCCAAACAGAATACGTAGGAGGAGGAGAGGGCTCGGACATGGGGATAATCAGCACTGGCCCGTCTGATCGAGATCGGTAATTTTTTTTTTTTTTTTTTGGGAAAAACCGAGAGGCCTTAGGAAACAATAAATCCGTCTCTGGCACAAAATCTGCAAATACATATATGTATAAAATACATCGATGAGCTGAATGAAGACTGCATACAACGCCTATAGATGTCTGGCCAAGGACCTGGATGCCTACGCCATGGAGCCAGAAATGACAATGGACAGCATTGGCAGTCTGCACGGTGGGCTAAGCCATGACCAGGATCTGATGAGCAATCAGAGTACGCATCACGATCGGAGCGCCGGGGCTTTGCGATTACATCAGGATCTAGCGGCAGCCTCTTCCCGAGCTGCGATGGTGTCGAGCATGGCTTCTATTTTGGATGGGGCAGGGGAGTACCGTCCGGATCTATCGCTGCCGCTGCACCACGCGATGAGCATGCCGTGCGAAACGTCCCCGCCTGGGATGGGAATGAGCAGCACCTACACAACACTGACTCCACTCCAACCTCTGCCCCCGATTTCGACCGTTTCGGAGAAATTCCACCATCCGCACCATCATCACCACCACCACCACCAGCGCCTCTCCGGGAATGTGAGCGGGAGCTTCACTCTGATGCGGGATGAAAGAGGTTTACCAGCAATGAACAGCCTCTACAGCCCCTACCATAAGGACATGACGGGGATGGGTCAGAGTCTGTCCCCTCTGCCCACCAGTCCTCTCGGCAGCGGCCTTGGCTCCATCCACAACACCCAGCCAAGTCTTCAAAACTATAGCACGCACGGGCACGACAAAATCCTAAGCTCCACTTTCGATGCCCACACTGCCATGCTGGCCAGAGGGGATCAGCACCTCTCCCGGAGCCTTGGTAGCCCCACGGCGGGGATGATTCCGCATTTGAACGGCGTGCACCACGGGGGGAATCAGGGCCATGCTCAATCCCACGGGCCCCTGTTGGCCTCCGGCCGGGACCGACCACCCTCCTCCTCCTCCGGAACGCAGGGTACCAACTCGGGGCAGCTTGAAGAGATAAATACCAAAGAGGTGGCACAGAGGATCACAGCGGAGTTGAAGCGCTATAGCATCCCGCAAGCCATTTTTGCTCAGCGCATCCTCTGTCGTTCACAGGGCACCCTGTCCGATCTCTTGAGGAATCCAAAACCGTGGAGCAAACTTAAATCGGGAAGGGAAACCTTTAGGCGCATGTGGAAGTGGCTGCAGGAACCCGAGTTTCAAAGGATGTCGGCTTTACGGCTGGCAGGTAAGACGCGCTACACACCTGTAAATGCAGTTGCTGTTGCTACCTTTTGAGTTATTAATTTGGGGTAATTTTCCCTGCAGAACTAAAATAATATTGAATTATATTATAGTGTTTTGACTAACATCGATTATAATAGGCTACATACTTTTGAAAAAACAAAGAATATTTAAGTTAGTTGGTATTAGGGTTAAGTCGCCGTATGTAGTTTTTGTGGCGAAAGTTTCATTAATAGGCTAATATTATGACGAATTACCTGATGTAATTATATGCAATTTGTAATTCAAAGGATATTCATACTAGTCTGTATACATCGTGGACACATATGTGTGTATAGATTCTAAAAATGAGTAACAAAATGAGTAATTGAAACATTTTAAACACTGCAGCCTATATAACGTTTAATGCGAATTAGGCCTACATAGGCTATAGGTATTTATAAGCACGAACATGATCACTGTACGTAGTATCTACACGCACAACTGATGCAGAAATGTCCCTGCCTCTTCTTTAAGATGACTTATTCATTACTATTTTCCAGTGGTAGTTTTACTCCATGCATGCTCGCTTTATCTATTTCTTTCCGACCCGACGATGTCAGCGCCGGCTGTGCTGACTGGTCGCCGGCGTTAATGTGTCTAACGGCGGTGATTGTATTTCCCTGGGAGGTTCAGCAGTGTGGAGCGCAATTTATTCCAGTGAAGAATAGTTTTTAATGAGTTACTAAGAAATAAAAGTGAATAAAAAGAGTGTACCTACCGGAACGCGGTTGCCCCCTCTAGTGAATAAAAACAGCTATCAAATGGTTATTTGCTTATTACCAGAAGTAGATAACATATAGGCTACTTTTATACGTAACAGTGGACCTGAAAGCTTTTTTATTTTTTTAATTAATTAATTAGCAGCAAAACAGACGACTGTTAAGGCTGGACGAAAATTAAGCAAACATGCAGATTGGGTTAACCAGTGGACCTAACAATCTTAGTAACATTATGAAGTTACGCGCCAGTATTTTGTTATGGCTTCATATTTAATGGTAAAAATGGGAAATCGCGTTTTGCAAATCGACCGTTGTCTTTTTTTTTGTGTTATGGGAGTTAAATAATTTAAGTGATTAAAAACATCCATAATCTTTTTAACAGATTGTGTGAGAGTTTTCAGCATGCACTGTAAATACGACTACACGTACCACAGGAATGTTATCAGTAAGGCATAAAAATCGATTCATCTTGTTTGGTCAGAATAGCTTGCACACAGCGTAGTATGACTCTGCCTCCATGATGGATGAATGGCAGGTCACCACTTGTAGCAGTTACTTTTATTTAAAATGATCAGTTCTGAAATACATATGATACAGTGCCTGGCTACAACTGCGTAGTATTCCCACTGTCTGCCTAACAATAATAAGTGCATATAATAGATATCTTGAGATGACCCATATTTAAATAAATGGTGATGTTTTTATGCTTTTGTAACATCTGTGCATGTATTTGGTTTAAATGCTTAGCGGGTAAAATATTTATATTATTTTAAGAAATACACATGAAACACATACATATAGACCTGCTAAGGGTTTATTTCAGGTTGGATCTGCTTGCTCATACAGATCTGAAATGACGGCATGTGCTTTGGACTAGAGTTGGAGAGAGGCTATAATGTGATCGACGAGGCTGGGGCTTTGGAGCCGGGAGCAGAAGCTGGGGCGACGCGATGAATTATTGATAGAAATCTCTGCATGCCCTGCAGACTGAGGCCGCAGGGCCCAGAACGACCGCCACCTTGTTTCCAGTTAAACAGGCAAGATGTGCTGAGCTGTACGCCTTTGTTCCTCATCACCCAACTTCAGTCAGTCAAAAGTGCAGATTACATTAAAAATAGCAGAAAAGGGATAGTCTGACAGGATATTTGCCCTGGCTACAATAACTTAGAAACTTTCTTATTGGAGCGAACCATTACAAAAGGGAGAAATGCTTCAGCAAAAGGTTAAAAAAAGCACTAATTATAATCAGCCCTGACTCAGTTCAATGCACTTCGTGCCCAAATGCAATTTTCTCATGTCCAATACCGTTTGTTTGATATGTGAGTGAAGATCTGGGCTGGGCTACAGACATAGTTTCAATTACTTTCCCTGAAATAACGTTTTAAACATGTTATAATGGTTGAAATAGCGATGGCAATTCATTAACGAATAGCCTACTAGCCTACTGTAAAGGCTGGCAGCTGTGAGAAAGGGAGTCACACCTATATTAGTGTCAAACACGTCCACAGTTTTGTTATTTGCATTCCATGGGTTCATACTTCATAATAGTATCTGATAGTATCATCTGATAGTATTACTTGAAAATATCCAGAAAAATGTTAGTAACTGGCTTTTCTGAACTGTGTTGGACTTAAAACAGATCTTTGGGGTAACGATTTTAAACCCTGAAAGTAATGTTTGGATTGTCCAGTTCCATCTTACCTATAATAACTCACAAACTATCAGAGACAAGACTGAAACAGTCCTGTAAATCCTACTCATGCCCATACCATTATGCATGAGATAGCTATGCAATCTAAATAATATCATAACTGGGTAACAATAATTGTTAGTGCTTGTTGTCATAGCAACAGTCAGTGTAGTTTTCCCACACTTCTATTGTGGATTCAGATGTGTCAATGCAGTTTGCATTATCTCCCCCTGTATCCTCCGCCCCCTCCCCAGTGATGTGATTGTGTTCGTGTGTGTATGAGTGTGCTCTTTCACATGTCCTATTACAAGGGCTGAATTAGGCTTAAGGCAGCGATTATTAGAATCGGAAAAAAGAACTCACTTTATTTTCAGTATGTATCAACATACCAGAATTGTTTGTAATCCAGTGCCAAACATAAAGTGCACAACAATATAACAGTCATGTTCTTAGTGAATTGCATTCGTAACCTTACATTATTATACAGGTATATAGTTGTATATTAAAGGTTGTATATGAGGCTATTTTATTAGTATTTCTTACACGGGAATATTAGTTACTTATGGGGACATCCGATGAGATTTCATTCCTGTCAGTGTCGAACTCTGACCGTAGTCTTTCATGCTGAAACAAAGGCCCAGAAGGGGATCTGAAATGCTCAATCGGAAGAGACCTCTCGTTAATTTCTATTTCAGTCTCCCAATCGTGTGGTTAAGTCCCTTTCCAAAACAAATGTGTGTATATCGATGGGGATCGATACGGATCATCTCCTGAAGATTAAAAGCGCATTAATGCTGGCAACGATAACATAAACGTGTGGACCCAGTCGGCATTGATCTGGAACCTGATCCAGGCTCCTTCCAGTAAAGCTGACGGCGGCGATTCCTTCCCAGCACCAGCCCGCAATCGGCCTCCCGTTAGCGCCAGGCTTACAATACCGTCCGATCAGCTCCGCAGATGATTGTCACGTATGAAATACAACACACTAGAAAAGCCGGGATCTGAGCATCTTTAAATCACTCGCCGTTTGTCAACACGGTGTTTTTAGGCTTAAACGTCTTTGCCTAGTAGCAAGTTCGTTCAAATCGGCCGAATATTTTAATAATCTGTGGAAATAACCTGGTAATAGTTTTAATGGTTCGGAGGAATACTGAAACAAAAAGAACTTTACCAAGCTCATGTTTGCAAATGTGGTCATGCCGATAAAGCATTAATATAAAATTTGTCTCAGTGCTCCTGTGACCCATCTACCAGACCTCGCTGTCAACAAACAAAAAGGGCTAAATGTCCAGCTTGGTATTTCATCTGATTGTTTGCCGTATCAAACCAAGCTATCTGCATGCAGAGCATCCCCCAAGCCGCATCTTACGGTGATGCAAAACTGCGTTATGGAATTTACCTACTTCCCAGTTCTCACCTTCGTACATGTTGTGATATGAGGCTGGAACTGGATCCCGATTTTGCAAATGCCAGAGAAAGGCATTGCAGGGTGATTTCGTAGATATAATGTGAGGTTGAACCTACAGAAATGGTTGAAAGAGGGTGTTTGCTCTGGGTTTGATGCAGATTAAACTCTCCTTTTTATGAGTTATTGTTCAATACTTTGACTCATGCATGTTTAACTACTTTGTTTCCGGCCGTTTTCCTCAATGCGCCGCTTCCGCCGCCGCCGTAATGCCTATTTCAGCAGTGCATCCTACCTACCTTTAAGATGAGAACTACTTTTATATATCTGTGTGTCTTCATAAATGTATTTCTCTATGATCTATAATAATCAGACTTGCGCTTTTCTTTTTCGCGCTCCTTAAGGTTTACTCCCAATTACCTGGCACATCCCCCCCGCTTCTCCTGGGGCTCGGTGTGAGAGCTGCGCTTTGTCTCCTAGTTGAGTTAAAATGAAGGTCATGTTTGATGAAGGGCCGCTGTACTTTTTGATCAAAGCGTCCACCTCTTACGTTGACGCAAGAAGAAAACACCGCGGTTTCGTAATTAATAGCAAAGTGCAAAAAGCCTGGATGGCGCAGGAGCTAAGAGGCATCGCAGTGTTTATCAGCAAAGTAGGGGGAGGAGGGCATGTATGCTAATACAGACAATGTGCAAATTACAAGCATCTGCAAGCCCAGAATCTTTCGTCCACAACAGCTACTTCCCATTCAGCGAAATGTTAGCGACTGTTAAGTGTAGTGAATATGTATTTTAGCCTAAAATGGACGTTAAATGTATAGTGTGGGGAAAAAATAAATTAAAATTCGTAGCGCATGTAAAATTATTTGCCTAGTTATTAATTATTATTATTTTGAAAAGATAAGACTGATTATTAGTATCTAAGCATATAAAATATTTAAAAAAAGTATTCCATAAAAATAGGAAAAAGCAATCAAAGTAAAGGCCGCTGGTGAAAATGTCTCACATTGTTTTGGTGCCTTTTTAAGTGGATTGAAAGAATGCTGCAGGAAACGTCATTATGATGGTCAATAATCCTTTTAAAAATTGTATAGCATCTATTTTTTTATAGTAGCCTGTTCGTTTTATAATATTATTATCCATTTAGTTATATATTATATATGTTTCATTTTATAAGAAGATTATTTTCTAAAACATAACTGAATACTGCGAATATTGAACACTTTTTTGATATTTTGCTTCTTTGGTGTGACAGTGAAGAATATGTTGTGTTTCAGTACAGCAACACCTGAGGAGTTTATGACCTAGTTTATTTTTTTACAGACATAATAATAATAAATGCATTTCACCGTATCTGAATGTGAGTTGCGTTGTTGTTAAGTTAAAATATTAGTCAGGGCACACAATGTGATCTTCCCATAATGTCTCAAGAAAATGCTTTTAAAGTTGGGGTATAATCATTTCTGCAAGTTAAGAAGATAATATTCTAGCATTAAAGATTAGGTTAATGTCACTGTTACACAGCTTTTTAAAGTCAAGACTTAATCTAATATGCATTGAATGAAAATATTTTGGTTTTACAACTGATATATTCATTTTGGAATTTTTTTAAAAAAAAAGATTCCGCAGATGTGTTCATAGTCTTCATTTTCTTCTGTATTTCACTCCAGACGCAAAGCTGCTTCTCAGGTAATGGTACTCAGCCAATCAAAGCCATGCATTAGAAACACGCTTCTCAGAACACAGATGTACTCTTTTACATTACTCATGTCATCAGACACTGGGAGATTTTCATCTCTTCTTGATTTGAAGGAAGCTGGATCTGAATCTCACTCTCCACATTGTTCATTTACTTAGCAAGCATTATCCTAAGCAATTTGCTGTTTATTTTCCATTTTCACATCTGGATGTTTTTGCTGGAGCAATTCAGGTTAAGTACGTGCTCAAGGGTACAACAGCAGCATCCTTCATGGAACTTAAAGCGCCAAAACACTGACTCTCCTCACATGCACACGCAGGTCTCCACTGCTGCACATGTCTTTCTGAGCGTGTGCGGTTTGACGGCCATACAGACAAGTGCTTGGGGCTGTTTTCCTGACGTGTTTCTCTGGAGTGCCGTTTGTGTGTCCGCCTCCTCGTACCTCAGACCTCTCTGTTAATAACCAATTTTGCCTGTTTTCACCAGGAGAATTCTGTAAGCAAGACGAGACTTCAGAGCGACTTATGTATTCTGGTAAAACACTTTACTTTTCTTACCAACATTACAATTTATTTCATTGTCACCTGCACTGCATTGTCACCTGAATATCTGACTGTATCCACGTGAGACAGGTCATTTGCTTTTATATGAGGTTTGCACTCAGCTCACAGCAGCTAGCTGTTCCATATAGACCTACGCAGCTAATTTCAGAGCAATGCAAGAACAACATTTGTTGACATTTCCCAGCCATGAGCGCAAAACCATAAATAATAAGCACGCTGTATGATTAATGCCGCCGTGCTCATAAAATCCATCACATTTCCGCCTTATTGCTGTTCTAAATTGAAACCCACGGATGTAATTGCGTTAAATGAACCAAATTGCTTAATTAAATTCCCGGCACAAGAATCTGTGGATTTTGCACCGGGTTGTTGCTGTACGCCTTGGTGTGTTAGTTACAGTTTAGTGATTCATTATTAGGATCTTTTGCCCTTCAGCCCGGTAAATAAAGGCTGGGCAAACAACTTCGGACCTTTTCACCTCTTACATTTGTGTCCTCCCCCTTGTTTTAGGACAGCATGTAAAATGACGGAGGGGTGTGTGTGTGTATATATATATATATATATATATAAAAAGCTTATATCTCAAACCGTTAGTTTTTTTTCATGCAGGTGGACAAAGTCTGCTGTTGTACCTTTGAATATTATGACATCAGGCTTTATGAAGAGTGAGGCTGAATGTTTCGCCAGCCATAAAGCCCTTTCAGGCTTCACCGATTTACAATGATTCGGCTCTCAGCTGTAGTGTAAGGAGAGCTCCTGCAGTGTGTCTAATAAGTCGACACGCTCATTTGCATTTACTTGCAAAAGTGTGTCCCATCAAATGACGCGTCATACAATACTGCCACCCTGTGGTGGCATGAATCCCGTGGACCTTTTTCTTTGTACTGTAAATCTAACAAAACAAATGTTTTGCATGTGGTGAACTAGTCCGCTTTAGCATGATTGTACAAACTGACAGCAGTGTTATCGATTAAAATAATGTTATTTATGTGTAGTATAGGGTAGCTCTGAATGTGGAGTCTTATCATGCACAGAACATTAGGTAGGGATTACCCCCCACGGGATGCCTGTCAGTCATGGAGCACTGATCCACAATTTGGGTAATTTTAGATGGTAGAAGTTCCCCGACTCATGTTTTTTCGGTTACAGGTGGAAATTCACACAGCACAGAGATAACATGTAAAACTCACATATGGATGGAGATCAAACTACCAACCCTGGAAGCGTGGAGTGATACTGCTAGATTTAGAAGTACTTTAGCTTAATATTTTTCTGTTAGCTTAGTATTTTTTTGTGTGTTCTGTCTGATTGCCTTTTGGTCTTTGGCCTTTGGTATCATAACGAGAGGATCTGTCAGCCATGGAAGGCCACCTGTGTGCTTCAGCATAGCAAGCTGAGAATAGTCACATGGCCTTTAGCATGTAGTATCATCATCATCATCATCATCTTCATTACCTTCATCTTATACATTGGGAAAAGGCTGGGGATAAATATGTAACTTTGAAAGTCTGTGGAATTGGTGTAGCATTTAACTTATGCATGCTATATATAGCTGAATTCAGGTCAGCCTGTAGTATATACGATATCTCAATATATATTAAAATTAGGCATTTAATATTTGTTGCATTGTAGCTCAAACCTTACTTCCTACAAAAGTAATATATAATTTCTGGGAATTTCATTTCAATTCCCATTGGATTAATCTTAATTCTGTACTAATCAGAAAAGTAAACACCTAAGTAAATAAGCAAATGAAACGCACAGTAATCTGCTTTACAGGCAAATATCAGTGTAGCTCCTTTAATACAGAACCAATCAGAAGACATTTAAAGATGGTTAAAATGCATGAGTGAAACAAACACAAGTCACACATCTAATGTCCATATACACATGGAGCAGAGCAAACAGTACACATAAATAGTTTTCTTTGGCAAATGAAATTGGGTTAAGGAAATAGCATTTCTGCTATGCAGTCATTAATCAGTAGTGCATGTTGGACTTAATGCTGTTTATAATATCATTTGATAATTTAATTAGTTTTCTACAGAATTCTAAAATAATAAGTTAATGCTATATGAAATACAAATGTAATACTTGGTAAAAGGAGTAATATCCAGAATATCAGGCAATTGATTGTTCCAAGTCATTAATTTTATTTTTCACATTTAAAAATTGTGACGGATTTGTCACCTTGCCATCTCAGCAGCAAGCGGGGGCTTTTAAACTGCTAAAGTTTTCTAATGTATTTCCACCTTTTGTCCATCCCTCTCTTCCCTGCCCTCCATACCCTGTTGTCGCTACAAGCATGCAAGCGCAAAGAGCAGGACCCAAACAAAGACAGAGGCAACACACCAAAGAAATCCCGCCTGGTTTTCACAGACCTCCAGCGACGCACCCTAGTGGCCATCTTCAGGGAGAACAAGCGGCCGTCCAAGGAGATGCAGATCACCATCTCGCAGCAGCTGGGGTTGGAGATCAGCACTGTCAGCAATTTTTTTATGAATGCCAGAAGGCGGAGCCTGGACAAGTGGGTGGATGAGGGTAGCCCCGGGGCGGCTTCCTCCGCCTCCAGCACCTGCACCAAAGCATGACTGGGGGACTAGGGTGATGAGGGTGTGGCTGGGATAGGAGTACCAAAGAGTGATTGGCAGATCGGGCCAGTGGGGCCAGCCCTGGAAGTGGAGTTCCGAATTGTGATTGGGGGATGGAGGTTTGTGGGCGGGGTCTGTACTCCAGGAAAGGGCGCTTCCTTGAGATGTTTAATTTTGCTTTTTTCTAAGTATGAGAGAGGAAAAAAGGGCTGTTTACTGGCAAGAGGAACAAATTGCTTCAAAGTTCTTGAATCCATTCATCCAGGGTCAAGATGAACCAAAGCGATATACATTCACTTTAACCCGTGAGGGACTGTGATCCACTGATGCCGTCAGATCTGGTTGTTATGTTTTCTTTCTGCCCGTTACTGAGTGATTATTATATCTATTTGAAAAAAAGTTAAAAAAATTTGGAAGAAATCGGGTAAGGACCACTACACTTAAAGACCATAGTAAGCATGCAGTGATGTCAAAGTCACAATGCGGCAACATCATGGTAGAGGACTGGACCAGACCTCAGGTCAGTGCTGTTTCATCCTCTGAATGTTTTCAGAGAGGATATTTAAGGGAGAGGCCTACTTTAGATTCTACGTGTTGGTTTTGCACACATCGTTTGATTTAGTGCTGTTGGTGACACGCAGACCTTTATGCACCCTGATCTAACATTCAGCAGCATTGTCTGCCAGCAGCCATTCACATTTTTTCCCCCATTCTCTGGGCTTGAATAACAAATTTAACAATCTAGTCAAACGATGCAATTTATGACAATAATTGTTTTTTATATACTATACCCCCATAGTTCAATTGTTAACTCACAATTTCTCACATTCGAAACAAACAAACCAAAAACGTCATCAGTGTTAATAGAAGGTATATGTCATAATAATTCATATATTTCCCAGTTTTACCAGTTCGTCATAGAAAACCTTGACCTGTGGTCTTAGCTACTTTGAAAGGACGCTGAGGTGATAGAGATCTGAGCAGGTGGCTTTGTAGGGGGTAGGGTGGCAAGGTCCTGGCTGGGCGAGGTTCATGGATAATAACGAGGTCTTGACAACTAACAACTCCCTACAGTGAGCACAATGAAGAAGCACATTTCCTCCACAGCAGAACACTGTTCTCCGTACGTTACCCAACTCAGGATGTCACTTTTGTAGAGCAGATGAACAATCTAATACCCACCTCCTCCAGTAAGCTGGGGTTCTCCTGTTTGGGGCTTTATTTAATCACAATATCCCAGTTTAGGTGTGTATAGCTTCCTGAAACTATTACGCTTTCTTTCAGTACAGCACAAGCCATAGACTGACTGCCAGCCCCCCACCCTCACCCCCACAACTGTGTCAACAAAGCCCCATGCTGGAGTCTTTTGATCACAAATACAGCTTCTTTCATGAATTTAGTTAGATGTGCCGTACCACAGAGTTCAGGTTCTAGCCAATAAGCAGCCCTTTTGAATGACGCGGGAGGAAGCCAAAGGCGATGGAGATTCTTTATGGACAGCAAGACTTTACTATTTATTGACCATTTGAAACCAAAGAGACTTTCTTTTTGTTGTTGTTCGGCACCTAAATCCTCTGCAGCTTTTCCAAAGAACGAAGGTAGTAACCATAACGACCATGATGAAGATAATAAGTGCAAGGAACGGTTATTGGCGAAGGATGTTTGTGTGTGTGTATGTGTGTGTGTGTGTGTGTGTGTCTGGGTGGTGGTGATCGTGGTGGTGGGCGGGGGGGGGGAGGGTTATTTTCTAAGGCGCAGACAGGGACCAAAATGGGTATCACACGTAGGGGAGTGTCGCCGTAACGACAGCTGCTTCCCAAGACAGAGAATGATGTCTCTCAAAATGGAAGATTGTCTTTTACGTGTGCCTATGCAGAAACACACAACGAGAACCTCATCAGCTACAACACCAAAGACTCATGCATATTCCTGCAAAAGCCCTATTCCCCACTTAATGGTTACTGTTTTTTATAGTTTAGTCCCATTTACTGTCATTTTAAAATAGTTCTTTTCAGAAGCTAAACCAAAAAAAAAGAATCGAAGCATCAAAACCAAAGAATGTCTGCATATATGTGAATATTTGATTCTCCATTTTAACTCGAATTCCATGTACGCTGTATATTTTTTATTTAACCCGTGTTTGGAAGCATATTGAACGAGGTTTCTTTCAAACATGGGGACACTCAGATTCAGTGTGTCAAAGACACCGTGAACAATGTATGTTGTATAGTGTAACTACGGGAACAGAATCTAGACCAAAGATTCTTGTCTGGGATGAGACCTTTTAAAATGTCACGGCTCGCTGTCATTCTGTTTTACTGCCTGGAGACATGGCTTTAAAGCAAACCGAAGCAGTATTGCAATGTTGATGTAAAATGCTGCATGACACCAAAGACAAAGGCCACCTCTTTCATCAGGCTCATACGTTTTAGCCTCTACGGTATTAAGACTGCATCAGGGCTGCGGTCGCAAACTCCGCACCATCTCACCTGCTTCCGCTCTGCTTTTGGTTTCCATGGCTGCTCAGAGCACCACACTGGGACCAGGGCAACACTGTGCGACCTTCGCTGAATCCCTGTTCTCATGCTTGTAAAGCAGAACAAAAATTTTAATGGCAGGTAGTCACTATAAGACCAATTCTAAGCCACTGAACGGCATACTATTTCACTCGCTAAAGCCAAACGGCCTGGATGATGTATGAAATGTGTCTGCCCAGCGGTGGTTCATGTCTAGGTTAAGGGTGTGTGAGTAGAGCTGTAGTCTATGAGCTATTTTAAAAATGTGTCTACAGAGAGTGGTCTATGTATGGGTGATATTAAGAACATGTTTGGAAATGTGTGGATGATACAAAGAATGGGTCTACAGACAGTGGTCTATGTGGATGATGTCTGTGTGGTCTTAAAGAAGTGTGGTCTACATATGAATGATGCTGATAAGACCTTGATAATAACCACACCCACAGATGGACTCTTATTATTAAAGGGCGCACATTAGACCCTGTGTGGGAGACACATGACACACCCAGGTAACATGTGATAGGTCCAGATTACGTGTCAAACCTGGGTCACATGATACCCAGAGCTGTGGAAAGAAAGCTGGTTTTCATATGCTTGCCTCACTGTATGCAAAGGTAAAATCAGTCAACTTCAGTGCTAAAATCATAGAAATTTTACAATGTGCATTTGTTTTACTTTCCACAATGTATGATGAAATTTACATTTTGATTTTAATGTAACCTTAATTTAAGATGCCAAATGTTGTTGAGTTTACATGGTTTGTTTTCTTTGTTTTAATTGTACTTATTTATTTATGACCAAGCTGTGTTCTATTTAATTTTATTTAATTAGTTGTAATTTGGGTAAATATTTATGGGTATTTATTATTGCACATTAAAGATATAGTTCTTCTGTCCCTCTTAATTTATGAACATTTTGGTTTGCTTTAAAAAGCTTAAAAACTTGTACTTTTTTGAAGAATGATTTCAAAACCAAAGCATAAATATGATCAATGTATAAATGACGTATTGCAAAAGCTTAGATCATTGATTTCTACTGTGATTTTAAAAATATAATTTAAATAATGTAGGTTGTTTAAAAATTTCTTTATTTTGCTTTTGATGTGGGGAATGGAGACTTAACTTCAATTTCTCGGGCTGATAAAAAAAAAATTGTTGTTGAATGTTGATGAAGAACTTGGCTGTGGAAACTCTCCTGTCAGAGATGAGGAGTCAACTTCACTGTTAGGTCTGTGCTCTGTTCCAGACCAAATTGTTGCGATTCACCAAAGAAAAACCCGAAACAATAAGTAGCTACCTGAGGTTGTACATTAAGATGGAAAGAGGATTCCTGTAAATTTGCTACTTCCATGACGGGCTCTGTATGTACAGAAACAGGTCTTTCTGCTTTCAGTGAGAACCATGGAGCCTACCTCACTGACTCTTCATGTTAATCATGTTGAAGATACCAAAGATACCAAAGATGTTGTTTTCCATGAATGGTCTGCACTTGGCTCTTGATTTGTTTCCTGTTTCTTTCTTTTCCACTTCCTAAGCACAAGTATTCCCTTCTCCTGAGCGTATGTGTGTAAAGGAAAAGGGTATCAGCTTGTGTATTTTATACTAAGATTTTGTAATATATTTTATAGCTCTGTGTGTTCCTACTTCCAGTTTGACAGTCAATGATATAGAAGACCCCTCCCTTCCATACTCGAACTAAAGATGGCCGGTGCATTGATGAGGGTGTGTTTTGAAGTGATCTCACCAAAGATATTACCTGTAGGGTAAGCATCCCATACACTGCAGGCTTTTCGATGCAGTTACGCAAAGAATGTCTATTTCCTGAACTTGCCTGATTATCTTTGACTTTATATGTTACTGTGTTGGAAACCGGTGCCCGTGGGGCAGACCAGGAATGAGAAGATCTTTCCTTTCAGCGCACAGTTGCTAAAATGAACCAAATAACCCAACCCCCCCCCCCACCTACAAAAACAGCTGATATTGGTGAGACAGAAAGTCAGGGTCACAGGGGAGTAACAATGGCAGCACGACATGTGGGAACCAGACCACCACAGTGATGAATGTGGAGGCTTTAACATGGCCCAGACCCTAGTAGGAACACTCAGAACTTTGACTCCACGTTGATACAAGATGGTGTAGTGGTGAAGTGTGTGATACCCATGGGGTGAGTGCCTTGCTTGACCAAAGCGTTCTTTTTTTATTATTATTATTTTATTTTTTTTCCAGTCCCCTTTGGATTTTCATTTTATTATTTTTTTTTACTTCTCTGAATACCTCAGTTTCTGGCCGGTGGGGGTGTGGGCTGGGCCGTGGTGCTTCTGCAACGCACCTGCAGAAAAGGGCAAACAGACACGGATCCAAAGCGCTAGCTTCCCTCTCAGTGGTTGCAGAGCTTTCATTCAAAAAATATTTGCGCAGACCATGGTGTCATTGCAGGCCGTGCATTTCTTACTGGAGTCTCTCAGATATACCTCATAGGTAATAGAGTTTAGGTAATGTTATAATAGGATATGTAAGAAATTACTCACTTTTTTTGGTAACTGTGACTTTATGAAACAAACTTAAAAAAGCTTTATACATTCTGAGTTGTGCTTTTTGTAATAGTTGACAAGGTTTTTCATGGTTTTTGACCGTTTTCTGTGTTCTGTCCCTTCTGTGTGTGTCTTTGGCAGGATGTTTTTTTTTTTTTTTTTAGTTATTTATTGTTTATTTTCTTTGGACTGGGAGAAATCAGAGAACAAACCTTCCCTCCCAAGATTCATTTCCATGTGTCTATCTTGTTCTTCCCTGTTATGTGTTAAAATGAAGTATTCCGAGTAGCAAATGCCAAACAGTGCTATAGGCCGATTGTTGTGCATGACTATATTTAGCAATGTAATGCATTGTGATTATTAAGACTTTTTGTTTCCAAATATCTTGTTCCATTTCTTTATTGATGTCATTTTGGCATGTTAGCCTGGTAAAGGATGTGTCTATGCTGTGTGTACATGATCTAACACAGTTAGATTAGATTAAACAAAAGTCCCAAGAGACACAAGGTAAAATGGTTTGTCAGAAAAAAAGAGAATTGGTAACCTAAAATGCACGACAACAGCACTTGAAATGAAAATTAATTAAAGCATCGAGAGAGCTTTTTCAAATTGGGAAGGGAGACCATGTCCAGCAATTCAGGAACAGTATTAACATTAATATGTGTCTCTCCGTAGATGGTGTATATAAGTGTGACTGAAAAGTCAACGCAATTCATGACTAAATACTAGATTAACATTAGCGGCCTTTAACTAGTAACATGACTAACGTTCATTTTCCCTCCCATCTACTGAACGGTACGGAAGAAAACAGCTGTTCCATAGAAAAGTAAAGGCAGTATTTTGGCAATAGAGTTTTCATATTTGCCCACTGACATGTTTTGATTTCAAAACTGTAAGATAACAAACAGACACCGCAGGCTGATCATTGTCAAACTTCACCATACGCTTGAGTAACAATCGCTATGCTAATGTTTTCTAAACCATGCTGCCAGTGTTGTAGTGTACAGGACATTCACCCACTTCACCCGAGACTCTCATGTCACCCCCCTGCCCCTGATAACCCACTCAGCCGACACACTCGTCTGTGTCACGCCTGACATGCATTCACACATCTCTCCCGCCTGACAGGATTGCTGCCGTATGACGTTCTCTCACTGTTTATAAGCACCATTTAAACTGAACGCTCTCCTCTGCATAGACGTTAGAATTATGAGTTTGTCCCCTCTTATTCGGTTGTGTTTCATTTCCCATTATAATCAAACGATAGTGTATATTCTGGAATTCAGTACAAATAAACAGCTTTAAACAATTTACATTTTGATTTTGCTGGATTTCTTTTCTCTTCCAGGGATTTAAAACATCAACAAGGACAGTTCTGGGGAGAATCATGCATCTCTTAGCAAAAAAATATATAAAAACTTCCTGAAGGGTGTTGTTAAGGGTAAGATTAGAGTCTAATTGATCCAGTTAATAAGAACTGAACACCAAGAACTGCCAGAAGAACATAAAGAATCCTACATTTTTTCCTTTTTACCGTTATTAAACATTTTTTAGGTTTAGCAGAATGCTAGGGTCCCTTACTGTTTAGCTTTAGGTAAAATTTCAGACCCTTATCTTTATTGCCCAGTTGAGACACACACTGTGTCGTCTTTAAATGGCTTTTCCATCAGCTGAATCAGACCTGTTCTAATTCCTTTGTCCCCAGTTGCTAAGGCAACAACTGCCTTCCAGTGTCAGGTTGTGACATTTGGCTTTTCGTCTCCTAAGCAGGTCAGGGAGGCGTCAGACATCACATAGCTTTGGGAGAATCATCTCCCTGACTACCTTTTCATATGTCAGCCACAAATAAGGCTGCAAAAATGCTGCTTTGGCTTTACTGTGGTAAAAGGAAAAATCCAGTATTGATGCTACTAGTAACTATGAAGTAGAATATCACCTTCTACAGAAACGTTAACTTCTGGATATCTAGATACATCTTTCCAACAATTACATTTTGAAAAATGTTGTATAATGCAAATACAGATCAGTAGTAATTATGTGAAATTTTTTTTTTTAATCCAAGCATAGACCTGAGACATTGTCAAGACCTGGAGTAATCACTGCAAACAGTTCAACAGAATCCAAGGCAGAACCATTTACGAAGATGAAAAGCCCCAAGCACATCCTCGCATGTGCAATAAAGGGCGAGAGCCATCCCAAAGATCCCATGACACAAACAAAGCTCAACTTTCAACAGGTCAGAAGAGGAACACAAGGACTGTATACAACCGGGGGAAAACAGGCATGGAGTTACGCGCTTTCCGGAATATCCATTTTGTGTTTGTGTGTGTGTGGGAGATCCGGAACCAGTGACACCCACACCGCTCCACTACCATGTTGATAATACTTTGTTAGCCTCATCACAATCAATCTATGGAAAGCATAAGAAACAGAGGAAGAGGTGGAATCAGAAACACTACAGTGGTTCACGAGGATCAGAGACTCTCTCCTCTGGCTGCTCAGTGTGGTCATACATGGAGCTGCCATTTCTTATATCCCACATGACAGCTTTGACATGTTGGATAAAACAGGAAAAATATTTAAAAAGATGTGGGGGGGGAAAAAAATGCACAAACACTGTCTGATCATTATTTATTGGTATGGCAGCTGTGTTAGCAAATGGTGACCTGTTTCAGAGGTATTTTTCTTTGAAACAGAACAGCAGTGTTTTGGAAGAGCTGAGAGTTGAAGGATGCAGCCAAGATCAAACACCTAGTGTATGGAGGGGCTGCCTCCTGATTCATATCACGCATAATTACCATCACCCCCCCCCCCCCCCCCCCCACCAAAACCCTAGTATCCCATAATTTAACGTTCACTTGAATAAATCTGACTTTACAGTACAGAAACAATTTTAGAGAATTATGCAGCTGAAAAGTCTTAAGGGCCTGAGAAGGCATTTTCCATGCACAGCAGCGGAGGTACGGCTTAGTTACGTGGACTTCTTTCAGTAGTTTGTTCAAGGTGTCTCTTCCGAGGGGACCTGCTGCAGCACTCAGAATGAAAGTGAAAGCTGGTGAATGCATATTTTAGATTTACAAGCCTCACGAAGCACATTCCCATCACCGCCAGCCCGCACAGAAAAACGTCTTACAGTATGCTAATGATCTCACTGTGACTTTAGTCACATTAGAGACGGAAAAAAAAAAGTCACAACAGAATCACAGAGAACCATTAAAACATAATGTAACAGCAAGCAAACGTTATACGGCACCATCATGGTTAAACATCATGGTTATGGAGAACATGGCAAGAAAACATTGGTAACAGCCAAGAAGAGACACAACTATGCAGTGATACATACACTTCCGGTATAGTATAAGTGTACTCCACAACCTAAACAAACCACTTTGCCCTCAAATTCTGAAATCTAAAAGCGTTGGGGGTCTTTTTTGGTCATGCCTCATCATCTACCAAGAGCTGGTGACTGACCCTGAGGTTTGATCCCTCAGTTGTGAGTGTGTGAGAGACGTGGGGAGGGCTTCTTCAAATCTTTGCAAAGCTAGAACACAGAGGCATATCACCCTTGATGCAAGACAAAACAAAAATGATTTTTAACATCATGTACACAGGAAACAGCTTTCACAACAAAAAGAACAGTGTTCCTTAGGCTTACTCATTTATTGTAAGCAAGAAATTTAAGATCAACATCAAACTGAGGAGAAACATTTTAGGGCATGGATGAATGGCGGCTGGTATTCGAGAAATCATCTAAATGCAATTCTGTAAGACACGGGGAGATAGAAAACAAGATTCCTTCATTCTTCTTCACAATTCTTAGATGCAGGTGATTGTGCATTATATGCAACCCAGCAGACACACCAGCAGTTACCAAGCACTGATTAACCATGATTTTCAAGCATGTTTACCCAGATCAAGGTACAAAAGGAACAACATTTATCTGTGCTGTGAGATTAAGTGGGGCATTCAGATCGGAGATGGGACAAGTGGGCGAGGCTCGGGGGGGCAGGACCCCCGCATGCTCAGGGACGACAGCGCTGGATGAAGCGGGGGTACAAGCACACGTCCCGGATGTGGAAACGGTTCAGCAGCCAAGTAAGGAACCTCTCCAGGCCCAGACCATAGCCTCCATGGGGACACGTCCCATACTTCCGCTGGCAAAGACACAAACAGATGGACATGTTGCTATAATCCTGTAGCACTGGAGTCTTCACGAGTATCGGAAATTAAGAACCTGTTTTTGGGCTGAAAAGGTCGACCAGAAGCACAGCAGTAATGCAGCAATTTAGAGTGCTTTAATGTACCCGTGTTAATCATCGAAGACAAGTAAAGGAGTCACAAAAGATCTAGTAGGTACTTAATATGGGTATATCTTTGAAAAATTAATTTCCTACTGGATGTTAGGTACTTTACAGGGACACTTGAGATACAATTTCAAGTATTCGGAGTTTCTTAAGACTGCAGCTTTGTCTAACTAAAGGCATTGGGGTGCTCAGGTTTAAACCTCAGTCGCGTATCTCACACTTACCTGATCCGTGTACCAGTAGTAGGGTGTTGGATCGATGCCCTCCCTCTTGTAACCTTCCAGCAGCTCATCTGCATCCCAGATACGCATGGAACCCCCAACAATCTCACCAACGTTGGGCATCAGAACATCCACCTGGAAAGGAAATATGCATCAGTACTCTGAAGCCAGCGTTCTGGATCAGGAAGAAGCACAAATCCACGGGATGCAGATACAGCGGACACTGACTGGCTATCCTGACAAGGCATCGGCAGAGGGTGGACCTTCACGCACCGACTCGGTGAGGCGGCGGTCCTCCGGGCAGCGCTGCATGTAGAAGGACTTGATCTCAGCAGGGAAGCGGCACAGGAGGATGGGCTCGTTGATGGCGTCCGTCATCTTCCTCTCGGGGGCCTCAGGAATGTCCTGTGGAGCACAGGCACATCTCCTTCGGATCAAACGCGTAGCAAATATGCGGCCGGTGGTATCAGCGATTAACAGCAGATTTTATTCGCTTGTCTGCATTTTGACTGGACGTCTTTTGTCATCGAAAATAAACGATGCAAAGACACATCCCAGGCAGCCAATACTTCGGCCTGGTCACATAAGCGTTCCCCAGTTGAACAGTGAAATCGATAACTAAAACTTCTGCCTGCGGTTTTGAGCTCTAGCGCAATGTAAGGTGAGATGTTGGCTATTATACCAGCAAAAGTCCCCTACCTCCCCAAACTCATAGTAGGAGCCATCATCCTTCCTGATATCATGTTCCTTCAGCCAAGCGATGGCTTCTGTGTAGTCCATCCTCTTGAAAGGCCTCTTGGGTGGTTTGAAGTCCTGTGTTCAAAGGCAATTCAGGGCTTTAACACACATGGTCCACAGACTCAACACAAGAGCACCATAGGACGGCTCTGTGCAACACACCTTGAGCTTACTATGCTGGTAGGGTAAAAAAGAACGACTTCTTTGCTCTAAAAGACTCAAACCAGCTCACCAAGAAAGGAATGTGGAAAAGTGGTTTGACCAACTCTGGCTGCTTTAAGCTTGTACAGAGACCCAGAGGTCAAAAGTTAGAAAGAGGTCAGGAGACACTGACGTACAGGGTTGATCTCAGAAATGAGGTCCCCCATAGGCGACTTCAGCACTCTGTCCACCACGTCACAGACCAGGTCCTCCAGGCGGTCCAAGAGATCGTTGAATGTCAGGAACGGGCACTCAGCCTCTACATGGGTATATCTATGGAGACCATAGGGAAGGATTGTAATGCATCCATTGAGGATGGATTGGAGTTTCACCTGTAGGAGGCGCAACATCTTAGCAGAACGTGCTTATTCTCACATTGACATTCGCCCCAATCAGACGAGCATAGCAGGGGGGTACAAAACACCCTAACAGAGGCTTGCTAATCTTACTTCTAGGCAAAGAAAAGCTATCAGCTGCTCAATTCTTGGGCTGCAACAAATATTTGCAAAAGAAAAAAACATGAATATTCTATAACGGTTATTTTTGCAAATGGGAGAATTACAGAACTTCCCATTTTCAGTCAGTAATCATAACGGAGCGTGACAGTAACACTTCGCAGCATGCCTGTTCAAACTGAGAGGAAAAAAAGATGGCAGAGGAAAGGAAGGGAAATCAAGCTGGGTGACAACGAGCAAAACAGTCAGAGGTCTGGCACTTTTTCCACACGTCAGGGACGGACGTGTGCAGTTTGAAATATGCTAAAATAAACCAGCACTGCGTGACATGCACGAGAGCGCACTGGAAACGGAAAAAGATTCTGTTGTCACGGAGAGTCCGTGAGCTAACTTACATTAGCTTGGTGCTACACTACAGCAGATAATTATTATATTTATCACAACAACAGTAGCTAATTTTCACTACAATTGTTCCATCTGGAAAATACTGCTAGAATGATTTAAATTGACGCTAATTTTTTGTAATGAAATCACTCTGCTGTTCATTACTCACCACGTTAAACCAATTTGCAATCATTAAACACTTAAGTATTTTAGTAACAAAATTAGTTGATTAAACAGACATTTCTAAAGAATATGAAATTCTAATAAAATTCTAATAATCTAATAAGATATTCAATAGTTGCAGTGCTACTTAAGTCACTTTCAAGATTTAATCTGCCAGAAAATTAAATATAGAAAAGAAAAAAACACAGGTTAAAGCATTCGTTAAAATATTATGCAACACTGAATGACACCATGTGTAATGTGATTAAGATGGCAAAGCAAACAGCATGAATGTGACTGAAAATGGTGCAATCAGGGGCAACTATATCCCACAATTCCCTGCTTGCTGGCGGCCCACTCACTCGGCCAGGTGACGGCGTGTGCGGGACTGCTCGGCGCGGTAGGACTGGGCGATGCAGAAACAGTCTCCCAAGGCGGGGATGCACGTCTCCAGGTACAGCTGGGACGACTGGGTCAGGTACGCCTGCTCACCAAAGTAGTTCAGCCCAAAGAGGGTGGATCCACCTTCCACCTGCGTCTGCACCAGCGTGGGCGGAGTCACCTGGGACATAAGAACACGTTCAGTCTGGGGGGAGGTTCCTGAGAACGTTCACAGGGACCACGTCCGCTCTAATGCTGCTGCACCAAATCAAACCCGACATCTCCACGCTTATTAAATTACTACTGTCGTACAAACAAATCCCCTCCTTCACACGTTAACATCACACTAAGATCTGAGTTCTGCATGTTTGTTAATGTCGCTGAATGTATTACCATCACACTGCACAGAGATAAAAACGATCCACCAAATGTCCAGTCGGCAAGGATCACCCTGGCCTCCCCCCAACATCCCCGTGTCCCAGTGGACTATGCAGGCCCCGGGGCCTCACCTCATAGTAGCCACGACTGAAGAAGTGGTCCCGGAAGCACTGGGTGACGACGGAGCGAGCCCGCAGAATCTTGGACATATTCTCACCACGGATCATCATGTGCCGATTGTTCAGCTGCACGTCCACGTCAGACTCCTCGTTCAGCAGGTTGTCGGCGCCCCCTGGTGGAGCCAGGCCCACCAGCTCCCAGAAATCACAGATCAGCTCATGTCCCCCGGGAGCCTTGGGGGTTAAAGGGAAGAGTGATCAAATCAGAGGCAGGAGCACAAAGCAATTCTGCCTCCTCCAGCGAGAACATCGAGCAGGTTAAAGGTCACCCATCCACCAAGAGAAATGAAGCCAGTCAAAGAATACGAGTTAGAAAGATGTCAGAAGTCACCATATTAACACACTCGTCATTCCCGATATGGGTCAGAACAACAGAAGACTGCATCCCTTTATTCGACATGCAACATAATTCCACAATTTCTTCCTCAAAGTCTCTAAAAAAAAAAACTCATAGGTTCATTTTCTATATCTCCTTGTCCCATGCAGGGTTGTGGGTGTCCGGAGTCTATCAGGGAATAACCCAGGATAGGGGGGCAACCCATCACAGGGCACAAACATTTATATAAACCAATAACACCGAATATTCATGGACCGATGGAGAAATTCTCTCACGCACACCGATTGTCTTCCTGTAGTTTTTTAGAGTAAACTTCATCTCTGCCTGCGTGCTAGTTTGTACGTTTCGAACTAATGCAAAGTTTGCTTCTTTCTGATTTTCCTCTTAGTTAATGTACATAAATTACAAGAGGCCGCATCTAACGCCAGTCCCAACTAGTGGTAAAATCCACTCTGCTGCCGAAGAATCTGAGCATCAGCACTCTCTACGGAACATTGTTAGCATTACAACATGGCGCAGAGAACAAAAACACGAGCCGCACCTGCGGATGTTTTGCGGGAAGCGTTTAAACAATGTCGATTATTTCATACCAATGATTATCTGCATTCCATAAGTGTTACAGATCTGAAACTGCTACATAGCAGAACTGTGACCTGTCCACGATTAAATCTTACCTCTTTTCCCTCTGGTACGGGCATCACCCGGCCGTAAAGACCCACGGTGCTCTCCGTGGACAGGACCACGGCATCATAGCACTGACACTGGGACAAGCAGAGGGGAGAGCAGCAGTTCAGTGGGATGCCACTGATGATCTAGACTTTCCCTTGGTTTTTGAGATTAACCAGAAGGAAGAGTGAATCGATGCTGGTCTCTTGGACACATCTTTGCTCAGCAACATCTTCACAATGCTAGGCAATTAGGCCTCACTCAGAACCAGGAATTTTCCTGAATGGGTAAGCTGTGCCCGCAAGGCCCATGCTCTGGAACACTGGCCAGGCACAGCACCCTTATAGAGATCATGCTAATGGCTAACTGGCTAAGTAAACAGAAGACAAATTTGCATGTGAAAGGAAGAATGGGGAATACCAGCTGATCTGTGAGAACACACTGCAGGAAGCCAGTCCCGTCCCTTAGCACGATAAACATCAGATTCTTTCCTGTGGGGAGCCACAAACACCAACTCAGTCAGGCATCGATGCAATCAGGCCACGGCAGAGCAACATTTGCAGGACAATGCCATTGCAGAAATCAAATCCTTATGGGTAAACTGGACTCCAAATCTGAAGTTCAGAGTAAAAAAAAAAAAAAAAAAACTACATATAATCATTGTAAAACTAGCACTAAGAAATAATTTTGAAAAAATGATAAAAAGGAAAAAAAAAGGTTCTCCGACTGTCCATATTTTCAGCATCTTCAGTGAAGATTGACACAGTCAGTATAAATAAAAACACAACTAAGACAGTGATTTGATTTCCATCTCGCTCATTACAGTGGTAACTGGTGACCTCTTGGGCAGTGTTTCTCACCCTGGTGCCGGCAGGGAGCAAAAACGTGAACCGGCTGGGGGTCTCTGAGCACCCGGTTGGGAAACACTGCTGTAAGAATCACATGGTGTGTAAAAAACAGCACTTGATGCCACAGGAGGGAGACTCTCACCTTGCCGGCGCAGTCGGTGCACCCAGCCAAACAACTTCACCCTCTGCTCCCTGTACTCTCCCAGCTGGTGGATTTTCACCTAAAATTAAAGTAGTTTCAAACGTAGCATCATGCATCAGTGGACTAATAATAGAAATCATACATTTCACTCAACACATTACAAGCTACTCAAGCAGTGGGTTTCTAACCAGGACTCACTTTTTTGGGTTCTGGAAGACTGGAGTCTTTCACAATAAAGATCTTCTTTGCTTCCTCTAGATTTTTCTCCCTTCGATCGGCATCTTCCGTCTGCCGGTGAAGTGATAGGTTGGTGAGGGGGAATGGGTCACCGCAGAGACGGTTCAAACAAATACCATCTCCTACTCTATTCTTTTCGGAAACTGGATAAGAAAGAATTTCCAAAGCAGACAATCACTGATGCTGGAAATACTTAAGGGACCGAAACGAACTGTAGTAACTTTCTGAAATAGTGGCTGTTGTATGTGCTAGGATTTTTCATCATATTTTTATTCTTTTGCAATAAAATGATGCAGGGAGCAGTGGGCATTTTATTATTCATGTAAACAAACTAGAGGTGCATATTACGACTGGCGTCCATGTTAAAATATTATAAATATATTTCTTTTAATGGCATTATGACCAGAAAATGATTTAAGAATGATAGAAATGTTTTATATATTATATATATATCATATATAAATATGATATTTTTATAATTTAATAAATTTTCTGCCTTTTTAAGAATTATTTTGAAATAATGTTTTATGAATTTTTTACATTTATGACCAACTTCTGGAACTGTGGACAAGCCCTAAAACGCTCATATTTAAAAAGCAACAACATGGCTAATAATAGCCTAGCAATAGAGCTTATTGATATAGTACTAAAATCAGGATACGTTAAGCAAAAACAACAAAAAAAATGTTGATAATACCGCATATCGCGGTATTTAGTCACCCTAAATCACCACAGGGGAAATTCCTTCACAGCAACAGCCCTATTCTGAGAGTTAGTGGATGAGCTGATGCTTTGTATCAAAAGAAACTTCCAGAAAGAAATACGGGTCAATCACGCAGCTCAGGAGAACATAGCAGGATCTCCTCTTCATTTATGCTGGCCCCTAACCTTCACACCAACCGATACGCTAACTGTAATCTTTAATGTCCAAACATCAAAAAAATACCCTGCTACTGAACCAAACATTTAACATGCAAAACAAAAACAAAAGAAAGAACCACTATGTCTGTGTGAAGCCCAGTCAAATAATTTCCATTAAAACCAAAGTCAATACAAAACACAAGAATTTGAGCCTACACTGTTTCTCCTGCCATTCCAGCCTGCAATAGCAGCCATACAAACGGCAGATTGTAACTAAGCGGAATGCATGCGAGAGGAACACAGTTCCTGGTCATTCTGTTAGTAATTAGTCATTGAAATGTCTTGAATTCTGTTTTTTCAATGCTTGTGTATGCAGTATTTTGCAGCTGCTGATAATCGCATTAGAATACACCTGCAAGTGCCAATGTAATTAAGCCATCCCATCTTGCGTTTGCAGAAAGGCCCAGGTAGGGTGCAAGGGACAGCATGGAAGCGCTGGGTCAGTAAACTGGTAGGAGAAAAAAGATAAAGCGTATAAAGCAGAAAAGCAGAGAGTGACAGACGGCTGAAAACAAGCGCTTACCTCCTTCTTGAGTTTGCTGTCATTTTTCATCTGTTCCTTGTTCCACTGCTTTTTCACATTCTTCTTCTGTGTCTTTGAGATAACTGCCCAGCGCTGGGAAGAAAAAAAGCAGAACTGAAAGAACTCCATAAAAATTAACTTTGTACCAGTTCTTTGAAAGAATATTATAACTAGCTAAAGTGCAAGTGCACTAAAATTTTGTCAATAAAATACTGTTTGCCTTGCATATTGTGTTAAGAATGTACTACAAATAACTCAGTTAGGTGTTGGATTTGGCTTCCTGTGATGCGAAATGCAGCTACTGCTTAGTTTCAAAATTCTCAGTTTATCATCAGCACTGTATTCAGTGCTACTCTGCACCTCTTCAGATAACTTAAAATGGAAAAAACAAGGCAGAAGGAAACACTGACGTCAGAAAATGTATCTCACAAGTTCCAGAGGGCATATATTTTACTCTATGTAGAGAACCAAAAAAAAAAAACCGATACAGATGTACCATTACCAGAATTTTTTCATTCCTTCGCTAACAATTTTAACTAATATTTCATGTCCTTAAAATTCCCTCAATATGAGCTTGATGTAGGGACAGAACAAGAGATTAGTCATTTATTAACCTTTTCCTATCAATAGTTACAATGCCACAACATGCGTTCTTTCTGAGAAATACTATTTATATTCTATGGACAAAAAAAGAACGTGATGCAGAATAGCTTGGTCTGATGTAAAGCATGTTCCAGCTGTGTACAACATTTTCAGCTGGGAGTCATGCCAAGGGAAAGGTCACTGGCAGCTCAGTTAACAGGCAGAGCTTCATCTATCACCTTTGAGAATTACCTCGCCTTCTTTTTGAGAGTCGACATAGATGGTTGGAAACGGCTCCTTCCCGACAAACATCAATGCCTGGAAAAGGAGGAAAAAGACGAGTAACACACCTGAGATTTCAGCCACTGTGGATGAGCTACATTAGCCCCACCCCAGAAAAATTTACCTTCAGAGCAGTTTTAAAAGGCTTTTCCATCGTCCCATCGCCATCTTCATCACTGCCTTCTTTAGCAGAAACATAGATCTCCCCTATAAGAGCAAAGGAATAAATCAACAAACAAAAATGGGCCATACAAATGCACACATATAGAACAGTGACGCTTTATTCAAATAAAGTTATCTTTCTGCCTGTCCTGTCTTGCTCTTCCGCATGAGACAAAGACACATATAAAGGTGATATCAAAGTCTGGGGATCACAGCACACGGTCAGCAATAATAGGTGGAAAGTTCAGGTGCAGAAAGTATAAATCCAGACCAAGGTTTTGCTTCAACCAACCAGCTGAGTATAAGGAGTCACAGTCACGGATTACTCAACTAGTAGGCAGAAACAAAACCTTGGTCTGGATTGGTACTTTTTGGACCTGAACTTCCCACCTCTGTCCACAAGTCTCTGGACCAACTGAGGTTAAGGGCCTCACACAGGGGCCCAGTTATCGTACGTATCAGGCACCTTGAGATAAAGGATTTAAAACTCCAAGAGTCCATATATTATATACACACATTTGTCAAAAACCAAGCGGGAGGAAACCTGCAGCACCCCCTACTGGAATATATTCCAAAGAGACTTTCCTCCAAATGCAAGACCTACAAAACCACAGATATTCATTTACAGATTCAATTCCAATCAGAAAAAACTTGCATTAGTCTAATCTATTTATTAAAGGTTATCGTAAAATGCATTTTTACCTTTACACTAATCAGAATAATCAATAATATGCTCCGCCCAGACCCTGCAAAGTTCTGATACTTTTGATCATCTGCAAAGGGTTCTATCCCACAAATATCCAGAAAATCTGATCAAAGAATTTTCCTCAAATATATAGCTATTTAACTTGTGCACAGTCTAATTTCACAAATTGTCAATTCTTTGCCAATTGCTTTAAGGCAGGGGTGGCCAATCTTATCCACAAAGGGCTGGTGTATATGCAGGTTTTTGGGATAACCTGTAGGTCAGCTGTTCAAACCCAGGTGTGAGGACTCTTCAGCCAATCAGTCCTCTAATTAGTAATCTAATTAGGGAGTAGCAGCGAAAACCCGCATACACACCGGCCCTTTGCGGATAAGATTGGCCACCCCTGATTTAAGGCAACCAGGACACCATCACCCTGCACACCAAGCAGGTCCGTTGCTTCATGCGGTTGGGCCTTCATGCGGTTGGGCCTGGGACAGCTTTACAATTCTGAGCCCCCCTCCATCCCACCCCAATGCAAGTGATGGGGACACACACATATTCACACAAAAAAAATTCACCCAGTCATGTCACTTCAAGCACTGCTGATGCAAAATAAAACAGTAAACAGAAAACTAATCTGACACATAGTATCAAAACCACTGAATTATCTTTTCATTTAAATTACTATTGTAATACTATTGTAATACAATGTCGTCTTAACTGGAAATACCAGACAAACTTATTCAACTGCATAGTTTTTAACTGAGGAATGAAAGTGAAACAAAAACACTATCCAAAAACAATAGTCATTGCAGCAATGAATTATTACTGGAAGCATCCTGATAGTCAACAAACAATCAGGCATAGCAGGCTACCATCAGCTATGGCACTCTGGTACAGTAGACCATTGGAGTACATTAAATAAATTGGGAAAGTCTTTTCATCACCATCTTTATGCAAATTTTATACGGTTTATGAGAAACTGGGTCTACTTGCCATGGCACGAACAATATTGATCCTGAACTAGTAACTACAAGCAGTAACTGAAGTGTCCAAAGCGTCAGAAAGTCATGACAGCTTGAAAGCTCAGGAGAAATATGCAGAAAATTCCACTAGTTTTTTTTACGTGATTTCACACGATCAACTAGGGATGCAAAAAAATATAACCCAAAGAAAACAGTACACTTATAAATATTATATGTAAACTATATCTCTCTATACTTTCTTGTAGAACGTGCAAGACATCATTCTGCACCCCCCCTCCCATTGGGTTCAAGAACGGGAAACATATCCGTTTACCCCCCCCCCTCCCACCCACCACCACCACCACCACCACCTCGCGACGGGCCTGCCAGCGAGTCCACAGCAGTATACAGTGTACGTGCACTGCACTTCACCTCACCTCAGAAAGGCTCTCTGAGGTTGTTTCACTTTCTCTTACTGATCGTACAGAATGTCATACCTCGTGTAGGTTCAAAATTCTGTACCACGACATTTCAATGTATTATCCTCCTTAAATACAGCATCATGCGGGAAAAAGTGCTTACAAACTATGCTTTATCATGGAAGAAATTAACTATAGCGAGCCAAGATTAAATACCAATCGAAACAAAATATAACTGATTATAAGAAAAAAACACTTATATTTAAGCCTAGCATTCAACATTTTAATTCAGTTTCTGCCATGGACCAATAAGCTAACTAGATAGCCCTTATCGTTAATTTATCACACGGGCAGCAACCAGCTAAATCGAGTGTTTTTCATGAATTGGCAGAGGAACGCCCTTTCAGAGGTTTTAATCGCTGGTTTAGATCCTTGTACGTACCATCGCTGTAACGAAATAAATGACCAGCCACAGAAGACATGGGAAGATGATGCAACATACACCGGTTCTAACATGGTTTTTAGCACATACCTACTGAAATGTCTTCAGTGTCCTTGATGACCTGTTCAGACATATTCTGTACTTTAACGCCTTTACAAGCAAATAAGTAAATTAATTCAGTAAATTAAATTAATCGATAATCCCTTCCCAAGGTACTGTACAAATTCGTTAAAATGACTACAGCCACCTCGCTGTACGGTCGACGGACAATGATGAAATCGGATGAAATTAGAAACACTTCCGCTATGTACCGCCCCGCCCACAGATTTCATTGGTTGGCATGTACGTCCTGCGCGTACGTTGCGTAGGAACACGATTCCTTAAATTTGCAGAAACTGATATGGCTAAAAGTGCACCAAAATTCGTATTTCATTGGTATTATTAAAATTACATTCGCATGATTAAACATTGTCTATGGAATATGTGCTAACTGTATGTTTTCTATATATTCATGCTTTACATTTTTTATTGTTTGTTTATTTATATTTTCTGTCTATAACAAAACGTTTAACAAGTTTAATGTTAGGTCTCTATTTATGAACAGTAATCACTTTCCTTGACCGACGAAACTCTTAATCTAGGGTTGCCAACTTTGATCAGTTGACTGGAGTGAGAGTCTGAAAGCATGAGTGTCACAGCCTTGTATGATTCTCCAATTCAACGGAAACCGAGTTGTTTTGTGAAAGTTATTGGGTAAATGTCCCTAGAAACACCTGCAAGCCACCAACTCTGAAAAATACTATTAAAACCTAACATAAAATTAACATATATTTCCCTCCGCTTGTGAACTGAATTCAGTTTGTATGGAAGACGTTTCCAACAAATCCCGAATGCTTGCTAAGGTCATGCTGTCCCATCCGACACTCTCCCCATGTGCCAGTTCCAACTCACTTGATACCTTTGATTGATAGCTCTGCTTTCCTAAATAATTTGTAGTCACATAGATGAAGAATTTCTTTGTAATTGTCATAGTCGCCCTCACTGTCTCCATGAAAAATGTTTGGTATAGAGGGATATTATAGACTATAATGTTAAAAATACGAAGTCATAACCTGCATAATTTTTAAATCATCACTATCCCCACTAGATGCCGCCAGAATCGCCTATCCAGCCCACAACCGCTTCCAGTACAGGGTCATGACTGTGTGGGTGGCTGGAGCTCATCCCATGCAGCATAGGGTACAAATCAACACCCTGATTAGGATTGCAGTCCATCACAGGGCACAAACAATCACATACATTGGGCAATTTAGAGATGGCCGTTTGCTGTAAGTTTACTGACAGCAGTAGAAATCTGGTAAAAGGTAGCCTATTTTTAAAATAACATTAATAAATAGTGACATTTAGCATGCTGCGGATTTTCTTGTCATGTCGTCAATTTACAGATGTACTGCGACTTGCACTTCATGGATTCACGGTTGGCATAAGCGAGTTTGTGCAACTATGAACAGTACCGGAACATTTATGACACATGTATTCAGGAGATGATAGTTTATCTTATTCAAAAGAAGTGTGACACTTACTTTTCATCTCACTTATCGCCGCCATTCAGCTGAGAGCATGTGGGCCTGCATGTTTCCACTGAACCTGTTATCAGCACAAAGTAATAATGCTCATTCATTATTTATACTGGAGAAGACATGGAGGGTTTATTTAGAATCTTTCAGAAATTTCAATATTAACTGATAGATTTAATGACTCATTTCACAGCACTTAGGGACAGACAATTTCCTCTGAGCACTATAGCTATCATCGGCATGGAAACTACCTTTAATAATAAAGGAAGCGTTAATGTGCCGTTCTTCCTTCATGCCAGAAAGTATTACAATTACTTCACAGAACATTTTGTCTAAATTCCCCTCCTGTTGTGAAATGTCTCCCTTTTGACATCTTATTTTCGGTTCTTAGTTTTAAAATCCAATTTATGTACAGTATGAAATAGCATAAAGCAGCATACACACTGGATTGGATGCCAGTCTACACATACGCCCACAATTACTCACCGATACCTGCACGATAATATATATTATTTATTACATTATCTGGACAAAGAGAGTCTAATGCAAACCCAGAAATTCCGATGGTGGTCCAAGTACCAGAAATAATCTTCCTTGTCTCTTTGACATTAAAATAAGCTCACAGAAAGACTGGCCTTTGTGCAGAAGTGGTGTGGATTTTCATCCTGGTCATCTAACCACATATCACCTAACATGATAAAAAATGTAAAGCCCTACCATTTAAAAATACACAGTCTTAAAGTTAATAATAGGAAAGACCAATCTTCTGTGACCTTGTAATGGTTGGAAGACAGATGGATGGATCAATGAATGGGAGAAAACCACGTTGTAAAGCTGGTGTAACAGTTTAGAGCAAAGTATATGGTGTAAGAGGCTTTAGTGAATAGAATGAGTCAAGCTTTAAGCATCATTAATTCGGGGTTCAAGGTGTTTTATTGCTATGTGTAATTGTGTGGATAGCACAATGACATTCTTAAATGCCTGCATCCTGCAGAACATGCCAGATAAATGCAAGGCAGTAAACTCAAAATAAAATACAAATCACAAAGCAATAAATGCTTCAGCCAACAATAAATAACAAATAGCACAGTATCACACCAGCATATACCAAAAACCCATAGTATGCACAATTAGCACATACAAAACAAACACATTTCATGTGCAAGAGATGTCTTAAAGGTAGAATCGGGGCAACAGTGACATATTCAGTGTGTAATTAGCGTTCATTAATTGCAAGTGTTGTGGTTAGAGTGCTTGTACATCATCCTGTACCATCTGCCAGAAAGGAGGAGGGATGACGGAGAAAGGCGCCTTTTCAGAGTGATTGGTGCCTTTGATGGTATCTTCTGACCTTTGCAAGGCAGCATGTGGTGTGTATGTCTTGGTCTGCTGTGAGGTATGTGCCGGTAATGCTCTAAGTGTTCTCCAGCTCTTTTTGCAGTGCATTGCAGTCCTGTGCTGAGATTCTGTGACACCAGAATGTTATGCAATGCGTGAGAATGGACCCTGTAGTGCATCTGTAAAAAAAAAAAAAAAAAGGTGGTTAGCACATCTGGTGACATTCAGACCTTCCTCAGATGTCTGAGGTGTGGTGTGACCAACCAAGGCTATTGTCAGTGTTGGTGACTCCCTGGAAACTGAAGCTCTTAAGCCCACCAATGTGGATGGAAGCCTGAGGAGGCGTCAGCTTTCAGAAGCCAGTGATCAGCTCCTTAGTCTTGCTGATGTTTAGGAAGAGTTTGTTTTCCTGGCACCTCTCTGTCGGTAGCCTAGCTTCCTCCCTGTGGGCTGTCTCATTGCCCTTGGTGATTAAGTCTAGGATGGTTTTGTCGTCAGTAAACTTGACGTTGGTGTTGGGGACGTCTCTGGCCTCCCTGTCAAGAGTAGGTAGTAAGTATAGCAGATTCTCAGCACACTGCCCTGTGGGATGCCCATGTTGAGGATTCTGGTAGAAGAGCTGCTGCTGCAAGTCCATAAATTATAGAAAACATTGGGCAATTTTGCCTGAAGGCTTGCTATTAAGCAGTTAGATGTTTTCCTGTTCCTAAGCTGTGGGGTTTCATATCGTTTTAAATCTATAAAAATATTACCGATTGTCCATTAGAGGGAGCCAAATCCAGAACATATCTTTCGCCAGGAGACTGTTAATGGCAACAGTGCATCTTTATGTACCTGATTGTAGTTATTAAATTCTGTGGAACGTGCTAAAGACTTGTTTTGTTGATGTTCTTAGCTGGCTTTATTTTGGCATTTATTTCTCCATGTTTAAATGTTTTCTCCAAATGTAAATAGGTTAACTATTTGTACCTCAGTGAAGGCTTTGTCACAGCTTTCAGACTAAATGTTTAAATTAAACCACTTCTGCAAATCCAAGTACAGATGAAAGTGAGAGATGTAGTGTGTTGAGGGTTTTGGAATCATTCCTTTTAATTTAATAAACACTAAGGACTTACGCCATTCTGTGGAGCTGGTTAGCGCTCCCTCTGGATTACTCTGGCTACACTGGTTTCCTTCTGCAGTCATAGTTGTGAATGTAGGCAGGTATGTACTCTGTGATGGACTGGCATCATGTGCTGTTTGTGATGGGCTTCAGCTGCTTTGAAGATGGATCAATGGAGTAAGGAAACCACTGCCTTTAATCTGCATTTATATTATTGCTGGGGGTCTTGGCTTAATAGCAATGGGTAGTAGATGGAGCTGCAGCTGGATCTGATTAAGACTTGCTTAAAGCATAAGCATCAGGAGCTGCTGTCCAAGCTAGGCCAGTACAACTGTTGAATGCGCCGTCATGCTAGTTCAGTGAAGGCAAATCCAGTGGCAGCCAAGAAGAACAGACGCTCTTCAGGAGTTGCTTCATGGCATGAGACGTCGTCCCAGTTTTTTTTTCCCCGTTTTTACTTTTGTTTGTTGCTTGTTATAATCTCCATGGCAACAGAAGTTCAGTGATTTCTAAAATGTAATTACGGCACTGGTATGAAAATGTTTACTGCTACGGCTTGTTTTGTTGCTGTAGGAGCTTGCCCTGATTCCTTTTAGCAAGCTGAGCCAAGTGAGCAATAGAATTCTGAGAATTAATCCAATGGTTTTGCTGATTGGCCTCTGCTTATAGACGATCTTTTGCATCTCTTGTGCCAAGGTCTCTTACATAGCAATGGCGTAGGAGAGAGCTTGATATTGGGGGAGTGCAACTTAATCATTGAAACTCAAAGGTCATATTTATTGGGGGATAATGAAGCCTAATAAAATATTGGAGTAGACAGCCCCCCTGGTTCATATGTCCCTGATACCTAGGATGTGTACAATATATTTCACATTCACCATGACACCATCACTTGAAGTATAATTTCAACGTATTCAAGTGACAACAAGCTATTTGCATTTTAGATATAATTATCATGAATGCATTGTGTGATCAGCTATAAAATAAGTGAAGTTGGCACCCATCACACAATTGGCATAGTTGGCTGATTCTATCACATAATCCTTTTGTAAGCATGTGTAGAGGATATGTTTGGGGTTGTTATATACATGCAGTTTATGACCCCTTATTCTTTCCCCCATCTTTTTAAATATCTTGGTAATTTATTATGGATAGAATGGTTGTTTTCTGCCCTTCTTCTGTGCATTGGGATTGATAGCAATAACGAAAATATTCATCAGACAGCCATGTGTACACATAACTATGGAGACAGAATTCTCTGGAAGGAATTTT